CTTACTGAACTGGGACTTCTTTCTCAGTCACTGCACTGATCATAATTTTGATCCACATAAACCCAGGAAATAATCATAATCAGTTATTTGATAATAATAATATTTTTAGGCAGAACTAATTTTTTTTTTCAAATTAATATTTAAGTATCACTTTCAGCTTAAATTTACACCAATTGACTTACTTGTTTAAGAGCATTGTAACTTACAGAGTCTTGTTTAAAACAGGCAGCCCTGAACCTTAAAAGGAAACATTTTTTCTCTATAAATTTCCTTCCCATGCTGATGCAGAATTGAGGGCTTTCATCTAGGTAAAATACCCAGAATACTTCTGGGGAAACCTTTCTTGCTGTGCAAGCCCCTTTTGCCTCTGGAGATCCATGGCAGGAGCAGTTGTGGATGTGGTCCTGCATTTGCCAGAGAGGAACATGGCAAGACTTAGGAAGGGAATGAGAAGTTATTGCAGTCAGGGTAAAGGCATGCAGTCCACTGGAAAATACAGAAAGTAAATAAATGGAAATGGGGTGGAAAACTAATTACCATTTTTATACATGAAAGAAATCAAATTATCTTTTTATCAGTTCAGCAGCCTAACAAATTGTTACACAATTTGCTTAATGCACTCAACTTTATGTAACTGTGTGTAGGCTCTGAACTGGAAGTCTGATAAATATAAAATGTTTGGTCCATTTGACTATGTCCGTTTCAAAATGTGAGATCACAGGCAATGCTTATCAGGCTATTCCCAAAATATAGTTTCAAATAATTCAAGTTGTTTCAAAAATAAGCAATATGGGCCTAGAATAAGAGTTTAAAAGGTGTGCTACTTAAGGTGTGACATTTTTTGTGTAAAGGAAGGGTTTGTTCAAACCTACTCACCATTCTGGTTACATATAGAAAGCAAAGAATCTAAAATCTTTAACATAAGTTTTTCAATTGAACCATTGGTATGAATTGTGCTTCTAATACTTTTAAAAATCATGAAAAAAATCCTTTAAAATTGCTTTCAAACTTTTCCTTTGCGTGTCACTGCTCTACCGGTATTGAGAAGTATGTATATATGGGCTTAACAAAACAAATTCTTAAATTAGCAAATGCATGAAAAATATCTAATATTGAAAACACTGAGTGTTCATTTAACTGCCATTTCCATGCTTCTGCTCTTATCTTCAGTGGACAAGCAAAATAATGCTCAATTCAAGTTTTTACAATATTTTTACATAAAAATATTTCTGGAGCTAACTTTGATCAAGTGTTAGCATATGATTAGTTTTATATCAAGCAAGCTGACCCTCTGTCTGATTTCAGGGTGAGAGCATGGACAACTTCAACTGGGGAGTGCGCAGACGGTCCCTGGACAGCCTGGACAAGTGTGACATGCAGCTGATGGAAGAGAACCAGCTCTCAGGGAGCACACCCAGCCTGAACAAAATGAACCATGAGGACTCAGATGAGTCATCAGAGGAGGAGGACCTGACCACGAGCCAAATCTTGGAGAACTCAGACCTAGTAAGTTGCAAACTTGAAATTTAGGAAAAGATAGGGTGGTGCATTTAAATAAGCTGGGCTTTTAGTTTCCTCTGCCCAGGTGCAATCTAAGGAGCAGAAGTTGATGAATACATTTTCCCTTATTTGCAAAGGTAAACAGGAATTTTAATGCAAAGTTTGAAACACAGGAATCATCAGATCTCACATAGTTTACTATGGGACAATTTTTGACAAGTGATAATAATAAATCTTTATGATGTATTTAATGCTTAAAGAAATAGAACAAGACTCCAGGTTGGTAAGTGGTTTCAGATTTTCATTGTTCACTTCTGGGGGGGCTTTTAATAAAATTTTTATGACAGAAATATTGAAAGGGTTGTGTCTATATACGAATTAAGAGTGCCACTGTCACTTCACTGTAAGACACTCTGTTTTGCATGTTCATGAAAGTAGCATGTGGTAGGGTAGCTGTATATTCAGTTCTTTTGTGCTTTTGTTGTCTTTTAAACAGATTATAAATCTTTCCCCATCTGAGGATGCAAATCATATTGACTCACTTTCTACATCATGTGACACAACCTCAGCAGACCCTCATCATTTTAACATGGGAACATCCAGCTTTGATGTGTCTTTGCCTGGTATGAATAATCTCCAGGTGTCTGAAGGACCCAAGGTGAATACATTTTTTTCTTTCTTTTCCCACTGGATTGTATTTTATGTAACACTGTTAAAATTTCTTTTGCTTATACTTCATAAAGAGTTTGATCTGTTAAATCAAGTACATTCTGGCTTCCTCTGTCTAGTGTCATAGTCCAGTACATTCATGCACTACTTCACTTGCTACCATTTCCTTTCTACTTATACTTTCTTCATTAAGATATTTTATTTATTGTTTCTTAAATATATTGCACTACATATGCACCAAAATACTACAAGCCCATCAGAAGACAAGTTCATGAACTGGCTACAACTCCAAGGCAATATTCTTTTGTTTTTCATGCTGCATTAAAGAACAATATGCCAGTTCATGTGGTGGGTGTATGCGTGTATTCTCTGAAATATTTTTGTGTGTGGGAACCTATTGTACAGTTGTGTGCCCTGGATTCAGTACTTGCCTTTTGGCAGACACACAGAAATTTTAAATTCATGACCAAAATGTTAAACCATCCTGGGGGTGGGGAGGCAGGATTTGTAAGGATACACAATCATGTTCAGCACAGTGTATTTCAGAGAACTGTATCAGAAGATGAAGACAAAGCAAGGTTGGTAAATCATTATCAATATGGGGATGGTTCCTTTAATTTTCTGTTCAACAGTAGTTGCTTATGAGAGATGAGGTGAACCTACTCCTTTCAGTGTCTCTCCAGAAATATAATGTAGTTTTGGGGGTGGGGGGTGTGAATTAGTGGCTTGATGATACTGTTGGCTGCTGTTAGTAAAGCTTCTCTGTCATGTCTAAATTGAGTGACTTCTGCAGAAAGAGCAGTGTATGAGACTGGGGCAAAGGAAGAATGTATCTTCTGTAATCATTGGCTTTCATTCTTGTCCTTGCCCCCTCCAAATGCAGCCACACAAAAAATTGATAATGGTAGCACTGCATGTTTCAGAAGGAGTGGAAATTTATGCAGAAGAGGTCACAGAAAAGGAGGTTGGAATTGTGCTGAATATTGAACAAGTTGTTTGTGTCAGAAACCACTGCAGTAGGAAGGAAGGACGGGAGGAGGGAAGTGGTTGTAAGGATAGGAAAGGAGAAGAACCTTTCCAAACAGTGGCTGTGGAGAAGGTAAACTCATTATCATTTGTCAAAATGTTGGTAGACAAGTAACCACGTAACAACCATAAACAGCAGAAGTTGGCAGAATTTCAGTTCAGGAAGCAGCAGTCAGAACAGTCACGTTTGCAGGTGGCAACTGCAGCTGATCTCATGTATCCAGCTGCAGTAGCTGTTGGTGTGTAAATTAAGAACTGAAAATCACAGCTTAGGAGATCAGTGTATGTCTGGGGGTTTGGAATCTTTACTGTCAAAATCTCTTTAATGTCCCACGTGCCAGTAGTCATCAAAAATGAAAAGCTTTGAAATAAGTAAGTAAATGAAGAATGTAAAATCAGAGCAGTTTCTTGTGGAGTTAACAGGCAACTTCAGCTAGTCCTGGTACAGATTTGATATTGGTTTAAAATATAGCCCTGGTTACAACTGTTACAAAAATAATTGAATAGGTAAGCACAGAATACCTTATTGGTGGGTTTTTGCCTCAAAGGTATTTTCTTCTAGTGTGCATGATTCTGTATTTTTACTCAAAATAATTCTAAGTCAATGCAAAGAAGATAGTTTTTAGTCAGAAAACTTGAAACTTACACCTAAATAATTTTTACTTTATTTTATAACACAAAATCTGAGCTCTTTACTCTTTTCCTCTGAATTCTTCTTTTCAGAGAGCTGATGAGGTGTCATCAATGCAAAGGAAATTTTTTTTTTTACTTCTTCAGTGATTTACAAAATGTTTAGTTGTTGCATCATAAGCAAAACCAAAAATATCTCAATCTTTAAATAGATACAGCAATTGAGAGAAACAGACTGATTATGTAGCCTCTTCCTAGATGTTTCAATGCCAAAAGCCACATATTATTGTTAACAGTACTTAATTAGTTAAACTTGTTTTCTATTAACGATAGTGGGATAATTCTGTGAGGGTTACAAAAATTCAGATGATGCTATATTATGTATTTTTCCAGAACTCATATATTTCTGGACGTGTACTACAATCCTCCATTAATATTCAAAGTTCACTTTTCTATTTTTCTTTTGGGGCATCATATTGGACTCCAGTGGGTGGGAGGTGTTTGCTTCCTCTTCCTTTCTCCCTTGCTCTATCCCATCAAAATTTGTTTTCCTCCTACAGTCTCTGTCATTGCAGTGAAGAAACTGTAATGGTTCTTTCAAGCTAATATTTAATATATGAAACTGGTTACTACTCATTACTTCTTGAATAAGCATGAAACATTTACACTTTTTACCAGGTGCTTTGGTTCCTATTCTGACAATTCAGCCAAATAGCTTGCATTTCTCTTTTCAAGATGGTTTGGGCTCTGATTCATTTAATTCACCCTCAGGAACTTAGGAATATCCCTGTTTTTTGCTTAGAAAACAAAGCAAACCAAAATACTATTCTACTTAATTTCTGACCCTGTCCACTCTTTTACAAGTCTTGTTCAATTTTTACAAATACAAATCCCCATAATTAATCTGTAGGATCCAAGCAGACTTGATAAACTGCGGAGGGCCACTTTTCTCATTTAATTCCACTTGAAACAGATTTCCCTCCCTATTAATTGCCAACACATGTATGTACATGCACATGGGCAAATGTGCACAGAGGTTTGAGCAACCCACTGCAGTCATCCCTACAGGAAGTGCTTTGGATGCTATGGATGAGGCAGACAAAAGCCAAAAGATTAAAGCTGAAACAAAACTTGTTCAGACTAAAAATGCGAGAGAAATTGGAACGTTTCAAAAGGAAATCATGACCTTTTGGTGCTGATAGATGAAAAAGGAAGAAGGAAATTAAGCATAATCCTTTAAATGGCCTGTTAGAATGCTTAGAATTCCCAGTTCTAAACATGCATAGAGTCTTCCAGAGAGTAATTGTTTCCAATATATTCTGAGAGGCTTTAGTACAGTCTTGGACATTATAAAGTGTTAAGAGACAAGGACAGACTGACAGTAAAAACAACGCTATTGTTTTTTCTGAAAAATTACTTTCTTGCTATGTTGCCACATGAATTGGAATCTGAAATTCTTTGCTAGACAAGTTGAAAAAAATGCCTTAAAAATAATATTTATCCAAGTCAGAAAGTTGAGCAAATACAGAATTTTTAAAGAAGTGTAAATTGATTCATGTTATTTGTAACCTGTGGCTTTATATCTGTGCAGTTTTATGTGCTGTCAAGTGGGTTTTTTCATTAAATGCTTTCTACTTATTAGAGGAATTAACTAACTAATTTGCTGTTTTCTAAGACATCATCATTCACTCCCCTAGGCTGAAGCTGTACCTGAAGAACAAGATATAGCAGTCCATGAGGATGACCTTTCAGGGTCTACAAATGAACTCCCTGGAGCATTTGAATGCAGTGATAGCCTTAGTCTGGATATGACAGAAACTGAAGAGAAAGCTGACAGGCTGGAACAATTTGCTCTTGCTAGGTACTTTGATGCACTATTATTCACACAAGTTCTTTTACAATGTACAAAACAATGATTGCAAGATGGTAGTTAATGGAATGGATGTTTTAGCCACAGGAGTTATAAAATTCTTATGAGTTTGGTGCAATGAGAAGACAATGCTTTAATTATCTGCATAATTATCACACAATTAAAAAAAACAAACAAAAAAAAAAAAAAAAGACAATGCTTTAATTATCTGCATAATTATCACATAATTAAAAAAAAAAGCAAAACAAAACAAGCTTTTCATTCTAGGAAAAATAAGATACAATATTTATATACATTTATGCAACTAGAGATTATGTATATAATATGGTTAATTAAAATAAAAAGGAGAAATTTTAAAGATTTGCAGGAATGCAGATATTACTTAGGTACCTGTTCAACAGATCAGATGTGTATTCATCCTTCTGATTTCTCATGAAAGAAAGTCTCAGGATTGTTAGAAATCTCAGCTATATGCTCTTAAGGGTGCTTGTGAGTGTGGCTAGACCCCGGTATGTGTTATAAAGAGACTTTAAGATTTTTTTTACATGCCATCTGGAGCTCTCTCAGATTTTGGATGCTGAGTTAGACTGCAGTCAGCCTGTGGAGGGGGAAGGAGAGAGCTTTATTCTCTTGTTAAGTTTCAGCCTTCTTCTGTGAAATGATGGTATAAGAAAACAATTCAAGTGTTCTGTAATAGAGGAAAATAAATCATAATGGCCTGAAGGTAGGGATTCTGATTTGGAGGTTTTTCTCATTGTATTCAACATTTTGTCAACCTTCAAAAGTAATTTGAAAATTCATGAATATTTTTAGGAAGGTGCTGTAATTGTTCCTGTGATTTTATCTCTCTGTTACAGCAATTTTTATCTGCCACCTTCTTGGTATTCTCCTTTCATCACCTTTTTCTGTTTTCTTCTTCAGTTTTGGAGATGTTGATCGAAATGCCTCCCCTCCTCCCTCACCTTTTTTTTCCGCCATCCTTGCTGCATTTCAGCCAGCAGCATGTGATGATGCAGAAGAAGCCTGGCGCAGTCACATCAACCAGCTCATGTGTGACTCTGATGGCTCCTGTGCAGTTTATACATTTCATGTGTTCTCTTCCCTGTTTAAGGTGAGAAAATAAGTTTAAGATGCAAAATCGTAGTTCTTGTGTGTGGCAATTAGTGTTTCTTGATAGCAGCCCCAGTAATGAACTACTAGATATATAACCCTTGTAATTTTGCATACTGCAGAATTGCTGTACTACATTTTGATGCAGCATTGTCTTCTGTGACCAGTTTTGTCATGAAAATACTGTGTATCTCATACTTGCAGGTTTGGACATCAGGTTGCAAAATATGGGTCCACTTAAATGAGTGTTTTCTTTGATACTTTATAAACAGACTGCAGGAACAGTAACTGCAAGAGACAAGGAAATAACCTTTTAAATCTTAAACTATTATTTATCTGTTCTTTTGTCACAAACTCTGAAATCGGAGTATGTCCATGTAAATGTCAGCATAATTCAATGGTTTGTACCTACAGCTGCCATCATGTAACATAAATTCCAGAGATTGAAGACTAGAAATACATTTGTCCTTTCTAGAACTGTATGCTTGCAAAGATAATAATCTTGCAAAAAGATAAGAAGAGTCAAATGTACTAGTTGTTTTAAGGAATGATCGTACGGTTTTACCTGTAATTAGTTTTAAAGCCTTTTTTAAATGTTTCTCCTGCAACTGCAGGATGTTTAACATGCTCCAGCAGTGAAAGCAGTAGCCAGGTAACTTTCTGCAGAGTTTAAGTACCTGTGATCTCAGAGTGCACAGTTTTATTAACATTTTATTACCCTAATAATAAATACACAGTTTCAAGATCTTTGCATACGTCTAAGACTAACCTGATACGAAGGAAGCATCCTATAGTATGAATCTCTTCTTCATCATTTGTCCTCTGTGCTCCACTGGAGTTGAATTTCTTATCTACCGGCACACTGTCCTCCTTTGAACATTATGCCACTGTGCACTAATGAATAACCATTTGGAAGAAGGAAAAAACAGTCCTGACTTAAGTGTTAATCCTGTGTTTATTCATGATGTCAGCTTTTCTGTCTTAACCTCAGTCCTAGAATAGCCTTGTCTGAGTATTTAGAGATTTATTTGTCCTTGATTCTCCTCTTTGAAGAGGTGAAAAGGAACTGGTGCCACATTTCTGAAGACTAAATAAATAATGTAGTGAAATGGAAGACCTAAACATTATTTGTAGAGTACCTGTCTAACTGCAAATCCTAGTAATGCACACACTTATTTTGCTGTTGTGCATGCAGAAGATACCCTATTCATTTTCTTCAGTTGATATTGGAGGAGAAAGAAAAAGGTGTTAATAATAGAAAAAAGTCACCATTTTTAGCTGGAGTCACTGCCATATTTTTAATGCAAAAAAATAACTTTATTCTTCTTTTCAGTCTTAAAATATAGTAGTATTATTTCCCCCTTTTTTTTTTTTTTTAAGATCCCAGCTTGTCTGGAATTGTATTTTGTTTGCACTATTAAATTTTACTACTCATCTGCCAACTTTGACTTTTGACCCTCATTAACAGGACATTTCAGAAACAAGCCCTGTATGTGCTAAGCTTGCAATGCAAAGTACTGCCAAAATACTTGACTGTGAAACAAAATCTTTGTTTGGAGGAGCTTGTCAACTAAATACTTGGTGATGTGAAAGAAGTGTATTTTTCAGGGCACCTACATTTCAGTCCAGTATCAAGTTAATGGTATCTTGGATGCTTGCCCACAACACACTAAACTTGTTTAAAATTCCTGAAATTATTGAATTCCTTTTCCTGTAAATGAGTCAGAGGTTAGAGATTATCTTTACTGCTGCCTCTTTGTATTCCCTCAAATTAAATGTCTTTTAGCAGACCAGACAGCTGCAAAACAAGTAGATTTCAGATCTAGCAAGTGCCTTCCATAATCAAGCCCTTTTGTTATATAAAGTCCCCTTCCCAAGAGAGGAAATCTGAGGTTAAGAAAACTTTCTGAGAATATTTTTTATTATTTACATGGACACAAAGCACAGTGACTATATGCAGGTATATATTTATTCATAATATGCTGACAGCCGGTATTACTATTCACAGTAATCCCATTTCATAAAATATATCCTGCATTCAGACCTTGCTTGATAGATTTCAGCCCCTGTAGTTTGCACCCAGAAGGACATAGCTGAGATGAGAATTTATGATAGAACTGTTAGTCAATGTAATTGCAAAATAAATATATTTAGTGAAGTATTATACCTAGATAGCAAAGTACAGTCTCTCACTGTTTCACTCATAATAATTTAAAACACTCTTCATGACCATTATAATTTTAGCTGTAGATTGATTGTTGCTTTTATGAATATCTGAAAAGGAAAGGTGTGGAGGAGGAATCTGTTACTTTTTCTGTAATCTGTCTCCTTCACTGCCTCAGATTTACAAACTCAATCAATGCCCCAGGAGGGCATTGCAGCAACTAAACAGGTTACCCAAAGCCTTGAAGAAGCTCTGACCTTGGAGATTTTAAGACTCAGCTAGTTAAAAGCACATCTGACATGATCTGGGATCAGCAACAGTCGCACTTGGAGCTGAAGGTTGCATCAGATGTTCTCCAGAGGTCCTTTTCAACCAATGTGTCTTGGATTCTCTTTCAAAATCTGTAATTTAAAATTTCCTCCCACTTCTTTGTTCTCAGCTAGGTCTTTTCTGTTGGTTAAGACCAAATCTAGATCTCTTTGCTTTGCCAGGAGAGTTATCAGTAACAGTTTCACAAAGACTTGGCTGAATCTTTTTTTCCAGAAGACATCAAAGTAGTAAATCTCCAGTTTTCACCAGGCCTTATAATTCAGATGATTCTTCTACTTGCTTATAAAAATAATAATTTTTCGGGTTTGGTGGTCATTAGTGATAACTCCTTGCCTCTAACAGACTCAGTGGAGCAGAGAATCTGTACCATGTGCCAAGTGAGGTGTGTAGCACTTTGTTTCTGTGTTGAAGCACGATGGAAACACTTAGACCAGTACCAGTCTGCCTGGTCCTAACTGTGCTCCTATAGCAACACATATGGGCAGTTGAGATGCTTTTGAGAGAGATTCATAAATAAGTAGTTATGAAATTGATTGGTAAGGAACTCTGTCCATTTTATAAATCACTGATAATGTATAGTCTATGTACAGGGTGAGGGCCTAGTTAGCATTTCAATCCAACAGCTTCCATTATCAATAAAGTCTGAATTCAACTCACCTGATTTTAAGTACTTAATTCCCATGCACCAGTTCAGGAACAGAAACAGCCAACACTTCTACGTCTATCATCTAGACTGGCATTTGGGAAGTGCTTCTCTTCAATGAGGCATACTTATGGTACAGGTCCTAACCTACATTCTTCAGAGAAATGCCTTTGGTAACTTGGAATTAATCATACAAAAATGTTGCAAACATTTATTTTTTAAAATATTCACATGTTATTCCTAACTGCTGAGAACTAGGCCTTAGTGAGATATATTTGGGCAGTGAAAACTCCTGGGTATTTATCAAAATAATTGTTTCAGTCAGTGCAAGTTTAATATATTATTTTTGTTCATTATTCACTTTATATATTAGCTACTGAAAAGTGCTAGAATGTTTCTGGAAGACTAGATTGGTTTAGGACTCAAAACATTAAAAAAAATCTGAGAAGAATAATTCCCGGATGCAGTGCAGTATTTCTGGAATCTTCCCAAGCACCAGTAAAGTTTTACTAAGAAGGTTCTTCCCACAGGGGAAAACAAAAGTTTTTTTTCTATTTTTCCGTGCTGCTGTTTGGCATTAGAATGTCCATTATATTATGTGATTAGCCACTTGACAGGAATATTAACAAAACAATGCCCGGAATGGGCAGAAAAAGTAATGTGCTGATCAACTCTGTTAACCCTGTAGAGACAAAAATAAAAGCTACCTGTGACTAAAAGGCTTATAAAGATTGATTTGTCTTTACAGGAAAGAATGTATTTCAGTAGTAGGTTATGATGAACTCGGTAATTAGTTTCACAGCTGCCCAGCTGTACACTGTCTCCAGCACAATAACTTACTCAGTATCCTCAAGGAGACATTCAATTTTCCACAGAGATGGTCTCTTTTACACTTTATTATGCAAAGAAAAACAACCATGCCATTTGTTTACAAAGGAAAGAAGCTCGTACTTGAGTAAATTATGTAATAAACTGTATTTTGCTTTCCAGAATATTCAGAAAAGATTCTGCTTCCTAACCTGTGATGCAGCTAGTTATTTGGGAGACAACTTGAGAGGAATAGGCTCCAAGTTTGTGAGGTCTTCTCAGATGTTAACATCATGTTCAGAATGTCCCACCCTCTTTGTAGATGCAGAAACAGTGAGTATATTCCTTTCAAAAGGTGTGTACTTCATTGCTGTGTGTTATTTTACTGGCTGTTTCACTTTTGATCAGCTCATGAACAGATATGTCAAAAAGGAATTCTCCTTCTATCTTACGTTTTTTATCTCTTGTCGGAAACCGTATTTCCATTCATTTTCTGTATTATTTTAAGTAAGTAGTGACAGATGGGCAGTATAAAATAATAGACTCATAGAATAGTTATGATGTGTTGAGCCTGTGTGCAGACTCAACCCCAATATAAAACAGATGCTTACTGGACCCAGTTGGCTCCACAAATGAAAAAAAAGCAGCTATTTTTTACGTAGTTCAGCATGAAAGATGGTAAAATATGTAGTGGTTTCATTTGAGTCAACTGTAATGTGAGGAAGATGCTGGCTGAAGGTGAGCCAGCTGTGCTCAGGTGGCCAAGGCAGCCAATGGCATCCTGGCCTGTATCAGCAATAGTGTGGCCAGCAGGACCAGGGCAGTGATTGTGCCCCTGTACTTGGCACTGGTGAGGCCACACCTCAGATTCTGTCTCCTGTTCAAGAAGGATTTTGAAGGGCTGGAGCGTGTCCAGAGAAGAGAAGTGGATCCAGGGAAGGGTCTGGAGTGCAAGTCCTGTGAGGATAGGCTGAGTGGGCTGAGGGAGTTTAGCCTGGAGAAAAGGAGGCTCAGGGAAGACCTTACTGCTCACTACAACTGCCTGAAAGGAGGGTGTAGCCAGGGTGGTGGGCAGCTTTTTCTCCCTGGCAATCAGTAACAGGACAAGAGAGAACATCAGGTTGTGCCAGAGGAAGTTCAGGTTAGATATTAGGAAAAGTTTCTTCACTGAAAGAGTGTCAAGTATTGGAACAGGATGCCCAGAGAAGCAGTAGAGTCATTGTCCCTGGAAGCGTTGCACCAGGACAGTGTGACATCCCACAGTGAAGTCTAGAGGTAAAAACTGGCCAAGTGTAATCTTGAGCCCACTTCTGTGACCATGGAAGTGCTGTGCCTTACATCATCAGAGAGCTGTTCAGAAAAACTGGATAAGCTTTATGTACTTTCCATTTTAGAGGAGTCCTCTGCTAAGTCATTAAACACTGAACAGTTTCAATTTCATGTTACCATAGGTGCAACTTTTTCTGTTTGACTTTTCAGTATAGTATCCTAGTTATGTAGATTTTTGCATAAAAGTAAATAATTTTCAGTATTAGTAAATATAAATCTAGGTATTCTTTTGCAGTATTTTTCCTATACCGTCTGCCAGTATTTCCATTTTTTTATAGTGACATTTACAGACACTTTGATTTCATTTCTCCAGCTGCTCTCTTGTGGCCTTCTTGAAAAGCTGAAGTTCAGTGTTCTAGAACTGCAGGAGTACCTGGACACATACAACAACAGGAAAGAGGCAACACTCTCGGTATGCTGAATTATGCTCTTGGTCTTGTCTGTCTATTTAGGTCACATCTGGTCACATCTGTTTAAACTAGAAAAACATGTTTCATATACTGGATTCATTGAATGTTTCTTCCTGGACATATGAATCAGAACTAGAAAGTAGCTATTTTATCCCTTAGTATTAGAAACAACAGTATCTTTAATATCCCTAGCATCTCTCCTATTTATTCATTAATAATTTTCTTAGTTCATGCCATTTAAATACTAATAGAAATCAAGACTTCACTTTTTTAATTACAGTCAAAGCAAATTATCATCATCTATGGTAATACAAAATGCAATTGCAAATTTTTATTTACATGATCTGCTGTGAAACTAAAATACTGCTTATCTTTCTTTGAATCAAACCACAGATCTTATTAATATTTTCTTTAATTTCTTTCTGAAAACAGTGGCTTGCAAACTGCAAAGCAACCTTTGCTGGGGGCTCACGAGATGGAGTTATTACTTGCCAGCCAGGGGACTCCGAAGAGAAGGTAATGAATGGCCAGTATTATTTCTCTCCCATAAAGTGACATGTGTGTTGTACCTTGTTCTTGAACCCACAAGAGCCTGCTCTACTTACTCCTTGATTCTCTGCTGGGCTTGGGCATGATCCAGTTTTCACACTTCAGGCTTGAAGCTATTGTTGTTGCCTCAGTCCTGGCCACGGGAAATGGGAAGTATTCACAGGAGGTACTTCTGCTGTCCTACTCTAGACAAAGAAGCAGAGCTGACCCTAACCCCGTGCTCTCCCTTTTAGAAAGACAATGCAGCAGCAGTTTTCCACAGTGTCTGAAAATCATTCCTGCTGTACTCTCCTTCCGTGTTACTCCCATTTTATCTTCAGCTGTTACAGTCTCTCTCTGCCCAACAGCAAAAATTGCCTGGTTGAAATACACTTAGATCAGTAGTTACAAAACAATGACTGTAAAATGGCCCACAAAATTATTTATGCTGTAGATAAGTATTTAGAGCTAAGGCAAAATATCTTTTTATCAATTTTTAACAAAAATGTCATTCACACCTGTACATGTATATTCATTTGTTGTTTATGTTTCTTGATTCCAGTTAAGGAATCATATTTTCAGATATCAATACTATCAGCAGTTAATACTGTTATTTGATATACTATGTCATTTGATATACTAAGTATAAGAAACAGATGATATCTTGGTGATGTATAATGAGTTAAGGAATGATGCTTTGTTGGGCTGTTTCCTTTTGGAAGAAAGACAATGGAGGGATGAGAAAAAGGGGGGGCTGGACAGAAGTAGCCAAAATTGGGAAGCAAGCAAACAGCATGTAGAAAAAGTGACGTTTCCTCTTCCCATGTATTTTCACTTATAAAAGCTAATTGCTAGATATTCAGAATACAGACTTGCCTGTTGTAACCATTTTTTCAAAGACCTTGTTTTAATCTTAATCTGGTTTCAGTTTGTCTGTCTTCTCCTCCAAGTCATGTTACTTTTTTCTGTCTTTATCTTAACCTCTCTTTCCCATCTCAATGTATTTGTCTTCTTGTCTTTAAACTCCCTTGATTTTTGTTTTTATATGCCATTTTCCAAGAATCCCAACTCCTTGCCACCCCTGCATTTTGGCTTCCTTGACTTTATTAGCAAATCTAATTTTCTAATAAATCCTCTGGCTGCAATCATAGGCAGTGGGAAAATTGTTCAATCTTCCCCCACCTAGCACTGGCACCATCAAAAGTTAGGCCCTTTCCAGTGCATTTAAATAAGACACTGTCTCCTCTGTGATTGTGATGTTGTGCAAGGAAGTTACAAATGAGCTATGCTGAAGTCTAAAAGAAGAGACCTGGAACACATAACACTGCCTCTCCTTCAACAGGGAGGTGGAGAGGCAGGCACTAATGGGATGAGCATGGGCATTCCGTTCCCTCTCATGTACAAACACTCTGAACAGTGACTTCAGAGTCTAGTGTTACATACCTTGCTGTGGACAGCTTAATTCATCCTCTTCATCTCTCTTTTGGAATTGCATAGAATGGTATGGAGAATTGACACACTTTGCTGATCAACTGCATTGTTTATTTTTTGAAAAAGCAAATAAATAACACTAGTGAGAAGGAATAACCTGTGAACTGAACTCATATAGCTGGCCTAAACACATCTGAAAGTAGTTTTATAACTAGGTGTTCTCTGTTTCAGAATTAAATGTGTGTTTTGTGAAGCCAGGGTTGGTATTTATATTCCTTATCAGACAGGCTGAAGAGTTTCTCCTTCCTTCACAAGTCCTGGTTTCTCTCCATCATTATTCATTCAGGTCAAAATGCATTATTCCTTGGAAGCTGACAGGATGAATAGTCATATTTCTTTTCTTCCCCTGCTCATTCACCTCAATTGAAGTAGCTTTTCCCAAAGGAACAATCTGTTTATTCAATGAAAGTGTAATGGGAGGAAGAAGGCAGGGAAACTGAGGAAATGCAATTAGGAAGAGGCAAGGAAAAATTACTCCTAGACTAGAAAGTATTTGTTTCCTTATCTTTCCTTTCCACTTCTCCCTCAACATGAAAGGCTAAAGAAACTAATAATTGTAGGGGGGGAAAAAATCTGCCTTGCAGTAACAGTCACAAGGGAACCTGCCCAAACTCTCAAACTCATTAAGGTTTAGTCTAGTGCCTGAAATTCTGCTAAAAACTTCTGTCCAAAAAAAAAAACCCAACTGTTTCACCAAGCACAAAACCAGGATACTCCTGAAAAAGGTTCAGAATTAATGGTAAGGAAAGAAAAGCAACAGCTTGTTCTACAGAAGGCAGAGATCTTAGATTCTTAGAACTCACCTGGTAAAAAGCTTGAGGGGAATACAGACCCCTTTACAGATGAGACAGATGTGAGACGAAGTTCAGCATTGTCACAAGAGGTTGCATCACAAATGCCTCCTGATGCTGGTGACTAATTTGGCACAATTTCTCTAATCAGATCTTATTTCAAAATAATTGCACATGATTTGTTGACTATTGTTACTGAAAATGGGCAAAGGCAAAAATTGGCTTATTCTGACATTAAAGAAGCTTGAAACAGAAGTTGTGTAGGTCAGCTGCTAGAGCTAGCAACTTTTCTGAAATTGTGTAAAAGTGTCATGTCCCAGGATGTCTTTCCCCTGCCTTATCATTGCAACAGATTACATGATTTGGATGTGTCCGATTTGTAAGCTTTGATGCTACTTTGAGCAACAGAGTCTCGGTGACATAGGAGTCAGTTTACAGACAAAAGCTAATTGCACATGCCTTTGTGTTGTCTGTCCAGGTGTTAGTCTTAGATGAGTACAGTTATCAGTACATTCTTCAGCCTTATTAAGAAAGGAGTTTTATAATCTAGTAAAAGACTGGGTTGTTTGGTTTCTCTGTTTACTCTTCTGGAAAAACTGTATTTGGAAGACCCTCTTTTTCTTGTCAATTAGCACTGCTAATTCAAATAAGTATTTATTTCCCAATGAGACATTCAGTTTACTCTACAAGTCCAAAGTCAGTACGTGCCTTTCTCAAACCTTCCTCACCACAAGCTAATGAATGTGGGCTTTGCAAACTCTGTTAATGGATATTTAAAACAAGATGCACCCCATAAAAATTTGTCCCCAGAAGTCAGAATATAACTGCTGCTGTGAGTTTCCCTGTGGCTAAAGGTACAATCACTCTAGGCCACCAATAGGGCTGGAGGTGTACCCATTGGGACCACAGTCATCTGGAGCTGAGCTGAGATACAGTAAAGCTCAAGGCACAGTGAGACCACTGTCAAGCAAGAAATTCTTAATAGTCAGTTATCTGACTGTTGTTTGACAGACCCATGGTTTGACAATGAGGTAAAATTGGCCCAGGTAGGCAGCATTTCTAAAGGGAGAACACAGCTATGTGTAGATTTCCCCATGCAGAGTACTTTCTACTGTCTTTCAAGTCTGGTGGATATTCAAGAATGTACAGCAATGCTGTTCTCTCTATCTCTGGTATATATTCAAGTTTGTGTATATATTCAACTTCCTAGATAATAGGAAAAAGTTCTGTCTGCTGACATGTTAAGACAAATATAATACCTTAATAAAATGCGCTTGCATTTAATAAAGCCTTGCATGCAGTGGTTATTTTGTTATGCTGGGGCTCTCCTGTGCCAGTATGTGACTGAAGACTGAAGTAATTATGTAACTGTCATCTCTTTTCAATATGTAAAAATGATTCCTTAAAACAGCAAGAAAATCTGAGATCTAAAAATTAGTGCCTTCCTGATCTGCTAACAGCACAAAACAGTAATTCTAGGAATAAAAAACTAAATCAAAGTGTTGCTGCTAGAGAGTGTGTCCTCCTTAGATGCTGCATTTACTGGGTGTTTAAAGAATTGTGCAAATGAGCCAAGTACTCTAAACATTTGGTATTTTCAGCTGCCAAAACCACTCATTGTGTAGTGTCTATCAACTAGTCTAAAACACTTCCTTTAAGAATTAAACCAGAAACTGAGAAGTGTCAAGGCTACGATCATTGCACCTGAGCCCTTGCTGTTGTGGAATATAAGAAATATCACTTAAACCAGTAATTGATCTCTTTTCAACTTCCAAGAAATCCTTCATTTTATGCTGAAAGGGAGAGGAAGTTACAATCATGATTTTGGAGAGCAATATGGAGCTGAGCATCAGTAGCTCAGGGAAATTTTGTATCCAGTGTTTTATTCCAGAGAAGAAGGGGTTTTCATGTAATGTGAAACCCCTTCCTCACCCCTTTTTTTTTTGGCTTGCCCTGGTTTTGGAAGCAGTACAGAGGAGACAGTGTTTTCTGGCAAAAAAGACCATGGAATTCACTTATTTGCTGCTTTCGTGTCCTTCTTCCCCTCTTCTTTAAAGTAAATTCCATGGCAAATTAGAAATTATATATGGATTCCAGTACTTTTGAAAGTCTAAGTGAAACTTGGTGGCATGCTAAACTTCAGAGTAGCTTAATAGAGACAATAAGATTTGAAAAACACAAGCCAGCACACCTGTGAGTTTAGTGGAACACAGTGATCTGTCTGCTCTTGTCCTCCTTTTATCTTGAATTTAGCTTTATAAAGCTTCATTTATGTGAACTGCATAGCAGCCAAGATATAAAAGGGTTTTGTTAAGAGTATTAAATAGAAGAAGAAACTATTCAAGCAATATTAAAAGAAAAAAAATAAGCATCACAAGAGCTTAAAGCTTAGTTTGTCATGATATTATAGAAAAGTAGTGCAGGGTTTGGGGCAACACTTTTTATATATATTTTTTAATAGTAAGGCAAATGTAAAGAAAACAGACTGAAATGCTATGTCAGGTTCATCAAAATTAATATTATTTCACATTCCTATGTTTCTGCCTTTGTATTGATGGTAAGGTAAATAATTTTAATAAGAATTCCATATGCTTATGTGTGCCTATGCACTGACATCAGGCTGCAACAGGGCAGATAAGGTTGTGTTTGTTACTTACAGCATTTACGTGATGACTCTCTTAATGTAAAATGTAATGAGATTGTAATATTTATAAAATAAGAAAAGCTACATTAAGCGAACACAGAGTGCAATTGTTAGCTCTTAGCAAAAAGGAACACTTCCATTTCAAAGAGAGCACTTAGTCCCCTAAACTTTGAAATGCTAATGTAAGTCAATTAAATTTTTTATTGTTGTTGGAACAGGACTTGCACTGACATTTTAATAGCCTCAGAATTATAAACCAGTGAATCATTACTGGTGAGAGGAAGGAATACAAGGCTCAGCTTGTGGCATTGCCATGAAGTTAAACAAAACTGGCATTTTCCACATTTTTTTTCTGATAGTAATAACTTGAAAGTTATATGCAAAACATTTCCATTATAATGTGCGAAGTAATAAGCCCAGCAGCCATAAAACTTATCCTGCCAATTTCATTAGATCTATTTGTCAAAAAAATAGAAGTATTTTTAAACAAGAATGTTTAGAAATAACAAAGTTCAGTTTTGTTCATCATTTGAAAATCATTCCTAATTTTTTTTAGTACTTTGCAATATGAGCTCTTTTTAATAAGAAAAAAATTAAATAAAATTATTATTTCAATAGTTTTCTAACACTGTTTCACTGTAAGTTCTTTAGCTGCTGGGTGGGATAAATCTAAACTAATAATTCTGAAGATCTAGCTGAGGATATTTAGACTGGAATTTACCATTAGAATTAAAGCTTGATTTTATTAAGAATGCTGTGCATGTTGAATGTGATATTCCAACCAATTATCAGGTTGAGGCAAGCATTGCTAATACTGCTGATAAGTTATGCTGTTACAGATGGGCTGTGCTTCCTATTGCATGCATTACACTGACACTATACTTTCTTTCCTTTCCTTTTCTCCTGTGCCATGCTTGCTGTGTAGCAAATGGAATCTCTTGCAGTAAGTTGAAGTTCTTTCATATTTTTTGTCCATCTGTAGATGGACTAATACACCCCAATTCTACTGTTTTACTTTTAAGCATGTTTCCTTTTTTGTTATAATTTTCCCATACAATACGTGGTTCTAAATGCAGTGACTAAAATAATTTACTAACATGTTTTGTGAAATCAAAAAATATTGTGCCAAAATTTTGACACTTTCATATGCTGTTTCAAATGGTCATTTACATACATTCTTACAAATCAAACTTCTGAATTGATGTAATGTGCTGGGGCAGGAAGCATTTTTTGTTATTTTAAAATCAATTATTTTCTATTTTTCCTAGTGAAAACTACAATTTATAGTTGGAAGTTACATTTCAAGTGGGTTTTGCATATATGTTGATGAACAATTTCACCACTTTCTAATACTTAAGAAGATCAAAAATTTAGTTTCTTGATACAGTAATTAAATATTGAGTCAAATTAGAACCATTCATTGACCTCTGTTTTCATTCAGTTTAGCAGCCAGAAGGGTGAAACTGAATTGTTGTTCTCCAAGGACTGAAAAAAATCCAGTGTTAAAAACGATAATGAGATGCGTTTTTTAAAACGATGTTATGCTTATTTTCAGTTAATTATTAATTCCCTGACAGCTCCAACTGTATCTGTATGTAACTGCTATGTAGTGCTGCCAGGTCTCCAAAATTTGAATAGAGTGAATTTGATCCCTGCTGGGGAGCCTCAGGCTGTGTCTCTACTTGGGAGCTAAACAGGACCAGGGAGGAAGCGAGTGTCCCTGGGCTGGCACTCGCTTGGGTGAGCGGTCAGCACCTTCCCTGGCTGGGCCACCAGCCAGCTCCTGACATGCCCAAGCATGGTTTGAGAGAAGAGAGAAGCCAGAGCTATCTCCAGGAGGCTGTATCTAAACAATCTGTCTTTATTTTGGGAAGAGAATGGTTGGCCACACCATCACAAATTTGGCAGTGCTCTGTGCCCTTCATTACCGAGAATGGCACCTGGCATGTTTATTTCTCTGGCAGTGTTCCTCATGCCCTGCCTCTTTGTTTTGAAAGGCTTTGTCCCTGTCCACAAGTCAGTTTTGCCCTAGCACATCTGCTCCTTACCACAGATCTGCTGGGCCTTCTTTCTGAATTTGTGGGTCTTTGCTGTCATATCCAGTCTGGTGGGATCATAGAATGGTTTGAGTTGGAAGGCACCTTAAAGATCATATAGTTCCAATCCCCCTGCCATAGGCAGGGACACCTTCCACTAGACCAGGTTGCTGAAACAGCCTGGTCTTGAACACTTACAAGGGTAGGGCATCCACAACTTCTGTAGACAGTGTGTTCCAGTGCCTCACTACCCTCCACATAAGGAAATTCTTCCTAACATCTAATCCAAATCTCTTGTCTTTTTGTTTAAAGCTACTGCCCCTTGTCCCACCACAATCTGCCTTTGTAAAAAGTTGCTCTCTATGTTTTTTATGTGCCCTTCTAAGTAATGGAAGGTTATTACAAGCCCTTCCTGTAGCCTTCCCTTCTCCAGGCTAAACCTTCTCAGCCTGTCTTCACATGAGAGGTGCTCCTGATGCTGCCCAGGATGTGGTTTGCTTTCTGGGTTGTGAGCACACACTGCTAGCTCATGATCAGCTCTTCATCCAGGAGAACTCCACAGGGCTGCTCTCAATGAGTTCCTCTCCCAGTCTCGGCTCATGTCTGGAATTGCCCCAGCACAGGGGCAGCCCCTTGTACTTGTTGAACCTCATTAGGTTCTCATGGGCCCACTTCTCAAGTTTGTTCATGTCCCCCTGGATGGCATCCCGTTCTTCTGTGTCATCTGCTGAAGGCCTCCTTGCTGAAATGCCTCCTTTCCATTTGGAACAGGAGCACTCCGATGAGGCTGACACCTGCTGGCTTGGCACTGTCCTCCTGCTCCCACTTTCCTCCATAAACCCCCTTTAGAAGGAGACTAGCTCTCCCTCATTTTGGCAGTGCCCTTGGCTGTCTGTTGGTAGATGGGTAGTTGGTGTCCACTTCACCCTGTTGAACAAAGATGAAATTTGCTTTTGACCTTAGCCCCTAAGCCTTGTGAGGCTGGTTCAGAAATTTGGGGAACTGGAACACTGAACTGTGATTCTAATTTTGGCCTATTAATAAAAAAGGTGGCACTTAAATAAAACACTTCAGTCAAATTAACATTTATAATGTACTTAAACTACTTTCTCTTAGTGTTTGTGCTGACATTTGCACAGTCCCCAATTCAGCAAAGAGCTGCAGCACATGCTGGTAACTAAGCCTGTATGAAATGCTTTAAAGAAGCAAATATGAATAGCTTCTTCTTTTCTGCCAATTTTGGCATGAAACTCTTCTTTAGTTCCTCCAAACAGATGGAAGTATCACTGAGCCCACCCTTGGTCACGGTGTCTGTTACAGTAGGCAAATCAAATACGGTTGGAAGTCTGTAAGGCTTTCCTGCCAAAGGGTCAGTACAAGGTCAGGACTCACACTTGCAGGATTTTCACTTTCTATATAATAAGCTGAAGATTAAATGTTCCTTCCTTCTTCACCATGATCCAGCTGTGGAACTACAAGATTGCCCTCCTGTTAGACACAAGAATACCCGGAATCATAAGCATATTAATTTGACCTCTCTGGCAACTGTGCCTATCACTCATTATTTAAATGTGTCTGACATCTTTTATGTCATGCTGCACTTCACACTGGGAGAAACAAGTGAATATTCATAGAGCAGTATCTACTTAATCTGGGAGAATACTTCATAGAAGCCAAATGCCCTCTTATGAATTAAACTCCATCCATCTGTTGTATGGTTTCTTTAAGGTGGTGGAAAATCCATAGCAGTGTTTTAAGTTCCAGGGCTGGCATTTCCTCCTTCTCACTCCTAGATGAATTTATCTCTCCTCAGAGGAGCAGGCAGGAGCTTTGACCTTGATCTTGGACTACTATTTAATGGCTTCTCTCTTAGATTTCCATACCTTAGAAGAGGTCTTCGACCTTATCTGAAATTTGGGAGTTTCATATTCTGTGCAGGGAAGTCACTTTCCCTTATATTCTGTCTCTGCTTTCCAGCTGCAAACTGGAGACAGTGAAGCTAACCAAAACAGAGGCTGATGCTGACATGATACTCTTTTCTGAAATAGTGTATGATCATACTTCAGTAAAGCAATGTTTTTGAGAACAAACTATCTCAATGTGTTTTGTTTGTTATCAAAAGTTATCTAAACTCACTAATATTTATTAATTGTTTCTTCTCCTACAAATCTTTCTTTAGCAATTGGAGCTCTGTCAGAGATTATACAAACTGCACTTCCAGCTGCTGTTGCTTTTTCAGTCCTACTGTAAACTTATTGGACAAGTGCACGAAGTGAGTTCCATGCCAGAGGTATGTAACAAACTACAGAGTACTGTACTGAAAATTCCACTTTATGTTCTTATTTTTCCTTTCTCTGGACTTAACAACAAGGATCCCACTATTTCTCCCTGACTATAAATCTGTAGGCATACATAATCAACTAAATACCTTAATGTCCTGTATTTTTAATTCTGTAATATTTACAAACCTTTTTCTTTAAATATTTTGACATGGCACACTCTCACCTTTGACCCAAACAGCATTTTGTTTTTAGATAAATACATGAATCTTACTTACAAAAAACTTCACAAGAACAGTACTGTTAATCAAGTTTATTTTCAGCAGTTACTTAAAATATATAATACTTTGAAACTTCTTTGAGGTGATCACTTTAAGCTGAATGATTATTATTTAACTTATCATTCCATGTGTATTTTTCTCCTGGTAAGGAGAAAGCTGTATGTTTAAAACTATTGAGGAGAAGAAGTTGCTGTACTCTTCTTTGTAAAAAAAAATTTGAAGCTACTACTTGTATTTTATGACATATTTTAGTAGTTTAGATGTGGCCTATAAACAGAAATTGTTTTATCAAATGTGCTGTTGGAGTAAAAATAGTTTGAATATTTATTGTATCTTAAGGATACAATAAATTGTATGTTGTGAAGGCTGGCTCATATTGTGACTGGGCTGTTCACTTTTAAGACAAGGCAGGACAATAGGCATCTGCTACTACTAGGGCAGTCCAAGTTTTAAAAATATTTTGTATTCCTTATAATTGATTTCTGTAAATGTATTTCACAGTTATGACTTTGAATAATACAGCCCGTGGAACTGGGGCTATATTATTGTACAACAATTGTACAAAGAATAGCTATTTCACCATTAAATAGCCTATGTGGGGCTGTGTTATTGTACAAACAATTATACAAAGAATAGCTATTTCACCATGACATCTGCATATTTTGCTGGAGCCCTAAGCTATTACTTGGAGGAAATTCCATTGTTAGTTCATGTCTCAGTGGTTATTTTTAGCATGTAGGAGCATGATAAAGTAAATCCTTGGAAATTATTAACTTAGTAATTATTTATTAATCTTGTGCCATATTAACTTTTCAGCCTGAGAAAGTGTTATATGTTTCTTGTCCATCTGTTAATCATGTCAGGCGCTGCATGTGTTTTGTAAATAAATATCAACATCTTGCTAGGAGAAGTACCTTTTCTCCAGCTCTTCCACTATGATGTGAAAAAAGTATCAAGGGTGAAAAATGAAATCTTGTTTAGATATGCTCCTGCATTTTAGCAAGCCAAAACTACAGCGTGTTAAATGATGCACAGAGGTTAAAAAAAAACCCCGTAGTTTGCTTTTTCTCTATATTGTACAGAGATCAAGAAATGTCCTTGTCTTTTCCGTAATGTGTACATCCAATGTAGTAGTAAGGACAAACTTGAAGTACCTACTCCATGTGGGGCTTATGGAGAATGAAAATACCCATCTCTCATTTTTCTCCTTGGAACAGCTATTAAATATGTCAAGAGAACTGAGTGAGCTGAAGAAAAATCTGAAGGATGCTACTGCTGCAATCGCAGCTGAGCCTCTGACAACAGAATCTGAGCCCACATTCAACTCTACTGAAGCAGCTATTCAGTCCATGCTGGAGTGTTTGAAAAACAATGAACTTGCTAAAGCCATCAGACAAATAAGAGAATGCAGGCAAGTTTTGCTACACGGTTCATATTAGACTTTCATGTTATTAGAACAGTATGGATTTACTATCTTCCTAACAAAACATAATGAACAGGATCAGCATTATTAATTGTTTCAACAAGGAGCATGGGGATATTGACACTGATTCTTGGAGAGGTGTGCCACAAGTAACTATCAAACATATGCTTGCAACAGTTAAGATGTTTAATTGCATTCTGTAGATCAAAAGTCCTGTGAGGCTCTTAAGAATCTTTTTATTGAGTTAATTCCTTACAGGTGCATGTCATTGGCATGAGCTAACATTCAGCCCAGTTTCACTTACACCTATTTGAATGAGTTTTCTTAAGCATGTTTTTTAGATAATGGAAATTGCACTTTTATGTCTATTCAGTGCCCAATACCAGAATATGAGTAACAAATGAGTGGTGTAAAACAGTGAGCTGCTTTAGGCTTATAAGCATGTGCAAGTTCAGTCTTCTTTCAGGGATCTCTGTCACATAGCTCCTGTCTCTGCTAATAAGCCCATAATGAAATGCCTGCTCTTTTCCTATTTCATTGCAGGATTTTGTGGCCCAATGATATCTTTGGAAGCAGCTCTGATGATGAAGTCCAGACACTACTGAATATTTACTTCCGCCACCAAACCCTGGGTCAGACGGGCACCTATGCACTGGTGGGCTCCAACCAGAGCCTGACTGAAATCTGCACCAAATTAATGGAACTGAACATAGAGATCCGTGACATGATTCGCAGAGCTCAGAGCTACCGGGTCATCAATACTTTTCTTCCAGACTCCAGCGTTTCTGGCACAAGTCTCTGACAGGACCCTCGGGCCCCCTTTCAAGCTGGGAGTGCTGCCCTGTGGGAGTGAGGTGGCTCGATGTCTTCTCAGCCTTACAAAGGTTTGGTCAAACTGTACTCACTCTTGTTACATTTAAGATTTCTTCTAAAAAGCGATGGGCTGAACTTCAAACACGTAGCAATACTGTAAGGACAGAGGTAGCATAGAGCACCTGGGACAACATCCTTTGTTCTGTGTTGCACAAAAACCAGTTAGCATTTCACTGAGCAACTGCAACTCACTACTGAAGAAGTGACTTCCATTGCATACCAAAGCCTACTACACTGAACAATACTTCCTTTATAGCAAATTAATTTTTGGTTGGCAAAAGTGCAATGTTTCCTTCACAAAATAGTATTTTTTTGTTAAAAAAACAAACCTTGTACATTTTTCCCTTTTTTTTTTTCTTATTTAGTTGAGTGAAAGATGGGCAGAATGAAGCTGGCCACGGAATCTCACAAACTTGTTGGTCAAAAGCTGAGAGCCTGTGTTTATGAAACAAACTATAATTTAATGTACACTGTAATTTGAATATGATTACTGTATCTTAAAACAATGAGCTGCTATGAAGTACATTTCCTAATGCTACTAGGCTACTGTCTCTGAAGGTACTGGATCATATTGCAGAGGTCTGTTCTTAGGCCCCCCCCAAGGATCATGAAAGATCTTGGTAGATTTTTTTTTTTTTTTTTATTAAGGACCTTGGCTGCTTTTTACTAGAGTTTTGCTTTTATGAATATATTTATACTATTAAAGGATGGTTGATCTAATTTAACTTGCCATTTTGTAGGAGAAAGTCCCATCACAGAGTCAAATCTTTTGAACTGTTAAGCATGCATATTTTTATTTAATACAAATTTTGAGTATAAAAAGTAAAAATATTAACGTGAAGTGCAAGTTCTCATGTTAAGTTTCTTTAAAGAGAGGTCTTATTTTATTTGTAATGTATATATAAAGTCATAACTTTATGGTTTTTCTTACATTTAACTGCTGTCTAGTGTTAAATGTATGCATGTAAATCTGTTGCACATCTGAGACTTTTATTCTGACAACTATGTAACTTATTCATGCTGTAAATACACTTAACTGTTTTTGTGAAGTAACTTTGAAATTTGGATCAGTTCATCCATTTAACTAAAGCATAAAAGTCATATATATAGTGACAACACAGTACACGCTTGTTGTGGAAATTGTGTTCTTGTCTGAATTAATACTGTTGCATATGGTAGTGATGGAAAGCAGCCTCCCAAAAGATACTTGTCTCCTGGTTTATGCTGAAACCATTCATAGAAAAAGAGAGAGCTATGCAGCTACAGCCTGACAAAAAAATCCTCACAAATCAGCATGGAAGACTACAACAGCAAAAATAGTTTCATTGGTCTTACACTGACTATAAAAGCCTCTAAACTTCTACCCTAAAGAGTATTTTTTACACTGTCACAGATACTGCCATTCAAAAGTTTTTTTCCCCCTCCTCATTTCAAACATGGGTAGCTTTTACCCTTTATCCCCTCCTATTTTACAGCCATAGTCTTGTCCTGGCTGATAGTTTTTGATTACCAAGCAGCTGTGCTTTTTAGATACACATTTGGCAGAGGCAGGGGGAGACAGATTTGCATTTACATCAGACTTCATGCTCCAGAATATTTGCATCTTCCACCCCAGTTTAGTTTGAGTGACTGAAGGAAAAAAAACTTGCTATTGTAGCTTGAAACTTAGCATTCCCTGAAGACTTCAAAATAAAGTCCACTATCTTTAGGAAATCAAATGGGTTGCTTCTGTACAGATATACTTTCCTCTTTCAGCCAAGGAGATTGAAACTAAGGGGTATCAAACTAGTGCAAACTTTTATTGAACTTTATTTACAGCATATATACAGTGAAATTACATACTTTAAGTTATTATACTTTACAATAACACCAAAGTCTTCATCCATTATCCAATGCCAGGTCAAAAGCCTTAAATCAAAACATTGCAATAGACAAAGTGCAAATCACAAGACAGAAGAGGGCACATGGATCAGACAATGTATTTGAAGCTGTAAGTGCTATCACAGGACAGCCTTTTGCCTCTGCAGCGGCCACAGAGTTCTTGACGATGAGGTCTCTTGAGATCAATATGTCTCTTCCTCTGAGGGCAAGAGCAACGAGTCTTGGAACAGATCTTAAGAAACAAAGACATGTTAGTAGTAGTAGATCAAAGAGGATGCACTTCATGTTAGACTAACATTTGATTTTCCTTAATCACAGCAACACATTTGGGGGCTGATATACTTAAGAGCTCTTGTGGTAAAAACCCTGGATTTAGGGTACAAGAGCGTTCTCACCTAGAAGCACAAAACCCTACCACACATGTAGCAAGCCATAATACTATATGAAAACTGTTTACGTAAGCCACCTATGGAAGGAGGGAGGCCTACTCCAAGACACTTTCCCAAATAACCATTCCTAGTGTTTTAATGATATTAAGTTTTTTTCCAGGTAAAGTCAACATCAAACTCCACAATAGAATTAGTGTATATGATAATATCTGACAGTCTTAATGGAGTACAATTAACTTACCTGGCACTGGATTGTTTCCACTCTATAAGGATTGAAGCCCTTTTGGCATTTGCGACAGAGCTGCTTGAAGTACACCTGAAGAAATGGCAAGCTCTGTTAGTATAGAGACTTACTTGACATGTTCTATACAGTTACCTAAATTTGTGCCAGAATATCTGATTTTTCATATATTTTAGGGCATTCTTAACAAGTCTAAGGAGAAAAGAAATTACTTGTTAACTACCTTGTTGCTTCCAGAAATGCACCACACGTAAGCACTCTCCCATCTGGTCTTGCAGTCTTTGCAGTGGAAATAGCCATACTTCTGCTCCAAGAACTGCAGAGACAGAGGTCACTGAGCATCCTCCAGCATCCCCAGAGCACCTAGCCCAGCTCCCTCACTACTACTCCCGAGGATGGGTGAGGCGCTGAAAAAGGTTGCCCAGGAAGCCATATGGAAATATTTGAAGCTGTATTGAACAGGCCTCTGAGAAACAGGGTCTAGCATGTGGCATCCACACCCATGGGAAGGGAGGTTGCAACTTCAAGGTCCCTTCCAACCCAAACCACTGTGCCACGCTTTGATCCACACGTGTGGGTTTTCACAGGCTAGAGGCTCTTCTGCTCTAGCTGAGACAGAGCCCGCCCGGGGCAGGACGGGGACTACCGTGCTGCTCGTGAGGTGATTTCTGCCTTCCCTGCCTGCGGGCTCACCGCTGCCCCGACCCGGCGCACCTGGAAGGCAGCTCTCTGCCTGGGAGCCGCGGCTTCCTCCCGCCGCGTCCCCACGGGCTCCCGGCGCGGCGGCAGCGCGGCTCCCGCCGGGCGCTCCTGCCGCTCCTGGCCGCCGTCCGCCGCTGGGGTCTCCTCGGTCGGCGCTGCCTTCTCCGGGAGCGGCGCGGCGTCGGGCGGCGCGAAGAGGAGGCGGTCGGGCACGGGTGAGTAGACGGCGAGGCGGCCCGGGGCGCGCAGGGCGGCGGGGCCGAAGGGCCGGGCGGGCGGCAGCGTGCGCGGCCCCAGCGAGCACTGCACGGCCACGTCGGCCCGCGGGCTCACCTGCACCGCCGCCTCCTTCGTGCTGGCCCGGCGCGGCCGCGGCGCCAGCGCGGGGCTCACCTGCGACAGCAGCGCCTGGAGCTGCGCCCGCCGGTAGCTGTCCAGGTAGTCGGAGGGCAGCGGCGTGAAGGGCCCCCCGAGGAAGGGGCTGATGCCGCCGCTCTTGCTCTGCTTCCAGCTGGACTGCTTGGCCGCCGCGTCCCAGCCGCGGCCGAGCGCGGGGCTGCTCCTGAAGTTCTGGTACGTGCTGATGGGGGAACAGACGAAGCTGTCCATGATTATCGCTGCTGAAGGGTTAGCCCTACCTGCTTCCCTGCCCTGCTTTTATCCTACCTGGGGGGCTAATGGTTGCTAATTGATGGCGAAAGTGGGGGCAGCTGGGGGTGGGGGGCTGATGGCCAGGGAAGGCCGGCTGGCTGTGCCGGACTCTAATGATGGAGAGATGTCATTCAGGCACAGATGGGAAAACCGCGGCCTGCATAGTGAGAAGCCTGCTTGCTTACAGTTCCTTCTGCTCATGGTCTTAAAAGAAGGAGAAGGGGGTTTGGGAAACTGTTAACAGAGTTCCGATAAATTGGGTGTCCCTCGGAGAGCTTAGCAAAGAATTCAGGCACTTACATCTCTGAAAAGAAGTCTTTACTGGTATTAAAAGGTCGGAGCATCCCCATTGTACCATTATTTGGGGATTATCTACTTGGAACTTTTTACATCAACTGCTTTAGGAAAAGATGGAATGCACTCCTGTATACAAACTGTATATGAAATAAGTAGTGGCTTAATAGCTGTATATGAAATAAGTGTTAATACAAGCAGTAATAAAAGCACACACATAATAGACTAATAGTCCTTCTTCCATAATTACATCACTTTAGTTCAATTTTATGGTAATATAGTTAAAATAATGTAATTTAATCATCCAAACTGTGTATGGAAGCCTTTAGAGACTGGAGAACCCTTAAATCCCTGGAACTGCAGTGATGTGAAATCCTTTCTTTGTATGACTCCTCTCCATCTTTATAAATGCATTACTTTATAAAATTCAATGGGCCAGCAAGAGAGAGGCTAGAGAAAACCTGATAGGGATTATGTCTTTAAACGTTCACAGTGCATCTGACACTCTCAAGTGTGTGAGATAAATCAGTAAGAAACAGCATTTTTACAGGGCATTTTTACAAAGAGGTTAAGATTCAGGAAACACATTCATCATAATTAAAAGAAACATGTCTCAAGGCTCCACGTTGCATTTGGGTTTTCAAAGCACTGTCAGTATCAAAGCAAAAATAGGGTATTGATATAGCCAAGTTAAAACTTAATGATTGCCGTGTGGCTGCAAAAAGACTGTTTTTTAGGTGCTTTGGAAGTGGGGATGGAAATCATATTGCAAACTACATGTCATCATTTGAACACTGCAGGGTTAGAAGTTGAAGTTCCTTGAAAGGACAAGAGATACGGAAAATAATTGTAGGACAAGAAACTAATGAAAGTGATGGATGATTAAGCAGGTGATGTGATAAAACTGCAACTTAAGGACTTCTGTGGAGAGGTAGGAAGAAACCCCTTTATGGCACAAAAGCAGATGAACATACAACATGAAGATGGTAAACTCAAAGTTGGTGGTAGTGTTCCACCCATCTTGAAGTTGTTCCATCGCCAAAGCGAATAATTTAATCAAGAGACAAAGAGGGAATAGGCATGTATGCGGGGGATATTAACATTCTCTTTATTGGCACGTCAACAACCATTTCATGTGTCAAGGCCTACGGAAGCACCCGAGAAGCCGAGTCTGAGGCTTGCGCAGCCCCCGGTCCCTGCCGCAGGGAGCCCCGCAGAGCCCGCTCCCGGGAGGTCGGTGTAAGCTGCTGTTGCGCAGCGACGCGCGCGATGTCAGCTGTGGATGCGGATCCATCATCCCCTCGCCTCTACACGCGTCAGCGAAGCTGCTGGCGGCCATCCCGGCTGAGGGCCGGCCGAGGCGGGGCCGGCCGAGGCGGGGCCGGCCGAGGCGGGGCCGGCCGAGGCGGGGCCGGCCGAGGCGGGGCCGGCCGAGGCGGGGCCNGGCCGGCCGAGGCGGGGCCGGCCGAGGCGGGGCCGGCCGAGGCGGGGCCGGCCGAGGCGGGGCCGGCCGAGGCGGGGCCGGCCGAGGCGGGGCCGCTCGCCGCCTCCTGCCGGGGCGGCAGCGGCGGAAGGCGGGAGCGGCGGGTGTAGCGCCGCGCAGGCGCGGGGCTGTGTTGGCGCCAAGCTTCGAACGGCGCGGCCGGGCTGGGGCTCTGCGCTGCCCCCTCATCCATCCCCCGCCCCGCTCCCCTGCGTGAGGCGATGCTGCGGCCGCCGCCCCGCCCGAGGCGCCGCCGGCAGGTAACGGCCCCGCGTGTGGCTCGGCCCCGCGTTGTGCCCTGGGGGGTCACTGCCGCCCCCGGGCGTCCCTCGCTCTCCTCACAGCCCGCCCGGGCCCGCAGTCGCGGGTGAGGCGCGCTGAGGGGAAGCGGGGTTTGGCCTGGCCCCGGAGGCCCCGCGGTGACCCGGGGGCTGCACAGGCCGCGCTCCGAGCGTGCTCGTTGCCCGGGAGCAGCTTCCTCTCGCGAAAAGCAGCGCGGACTGGGCAAATCGCACTTCATAAAATGTACTTCCTCGGTGTTCTGTCGTAATGCAGCCCGTACCCTACTTTAGAGCGCCCGTTTTTCCCATTGTTTTGATAGGGCACCGTGTGTAACACGGCCATCGTGTGGGAAACGGGTTTACTCTGGAAGGCCTAGATGTGTTAAACGGTGAAGTCTCACTATGGGCTTATTATATATGGTTTTTTAATAGAACCGTGAAACTGACAGTGTCTGCTTCACTTGAAGGCAACTTTGAATCAAATTCGTGACATGTAAGTTGTAGTGGTTGTTGCAGTATATGTGTGATAGTACATATTCCATCCTAACACGTTGTAGTGAGTGTGGGGTTTGGTTTGTGTTTAAAATACCTCAGAAGTGTTCTGCCCATTCCATCGTGTCATGTGTTTGCTGAGTGTTTTCATTATCTCTGGTATAATTCCCTACACTCTTGTCTGTTGTTTTCCTACCATGTTCATCACTGTGGTGTTTGAATGCTCACATCACAGTCAAAGCTAAACAAACTGGGCTGTGCCACACTACAAAATGCGGGAAAGCCAGCCTAAGATATTCAAAGAGCAGTGTATGCAAGTGTTTTATTTCTTCTCAGGCTTTTCAACTGTTCCCGTAATGTAATGGATAAGAAAATGGCTTGCAAACCTGTGGAAAGACCAACTTTTTTTGAAATATTTAAGGCACACTGCAGTGAATCAGGTACAGCTTATCTAAAGGAAATAACTTTACTAGGATTGCTTTCTGGTCACCAATATTTTATACATGTTTGCTATATGTTTCACAGGAAAGCTTTCTGCAAGTTGTTAGCTGCTGTTCTTGCCCCAAACCTGTATTTCCTAATACCTAGATTTCTTCAAATTTTTATTTGTAGTTTTTTTTCCATTATATATGCTTAGTTACTTTTTGTACTTGCTTTTTTAGAGTTGTCACCTCTATACATACCCACATGTAGACCAGGCTTAGTCTTTTGCTTGAGACATTTGTGGTAGTTATTTTAAATTTTAAAAGGAACCTGTTTAACTTGCCACTCTGAGCAAAAAAAGAGAAACTAAAAGCAAGCGTATAGTTATGATTTTAAACAAACTGGATATTTTTCTGGTCCTTCAGTTATTTTGTTAATGGTCTGAGAATTTGGGCAGATATCCCTTTATATTTTGTGGGTATCAGAGTTCAAAGCCATCTAGAAACAAGCAAACCAGAAGTATGGCAGTGGAAGCAGCGTTGTGTTTTGCTGCTAGCATTTAAATGCCTGGTGTATTTTCACATCCTCCATGGAGGAACCTTTTTCCTTTTCATGTAGTTTCCTATCTGTTTTCCTTCGTAGATTTAGGGCCTATCAGTCTTAATTGGTTTGAAGAACTCAGCGCAGAAGCACCCCCATATGATCCCAAATCGTTCGCAGAGATTGATGGGCCCTCTGGCTGGTTTGATCAAACAGCTTTTAAAACTCCAAGGACAAAACCCTCAACATACAGTCATCTGGAATCAACCCCACTGCTCTTTAAAGAACAAAATTCAATATTGCCACCTTGTTCTTCTCCTGAAAAAGACCCAGATCAGAAAAAAATAGGAGCAAGTGAGTAACTTTTTTTTTTAACCTTTTGTTGCAGCTGATGATCATTAATGTCACAGGTAATACTGCTTCAGGAATTGTGGGATTAAAAAGCTTATTTTAGTAGTCTTCTGAAGACCATCTAAAAATGCAGAATTAATCTTAATAGTAAATTCAGGTTGTGATAAATTGATAACATATAAGCAAAATTCCCTGTATAAGAGATACTGTTGTGGTCCAAACATTCTAAGTACTGGGGATATGAGGGGATATGAACTTAATATAACCTGCTGACTGCAAATCATAGTGAATTGTTTTAGCAGTCTGATTTTTGTGCAGAAGTTTTGAAGCTTTTAAAGGGTGAGAATCATCCTTATTATGATGAAGTGTGAGGCAGTCTATAGGGCACTCCTTAACCTTTCTTGGAAAGTTTTAGAAGCACCATCTCTTTGAGTTACTAAGATTGTAAATTATAGAAAAAAATACATTTTTCCATTTGGAAAAAAAAAAAAGGAATTTTGTGAGGTACTTGTCATACATTATTTCCAAATCCCAAGTACTTGTCACTCTGCTCCTTTCTGATGTATCCACCCTCCTTGGACAGCAAGAAGAATCTTTTCTATGGAGAATGTATGCAACATTGCCTGTAAAAATCTGTTGTATGGGAGAGTATTTAACCCCATTCCTGCAGTATGTGATTGGTACATCTGCTGTGTCTGTGTCCTTATGATAAGCTTTTCTAGCCAGGTTACAGACAAACACAGGACTCCCTTTTATTACCAGAATTGTTCTTACATCCTGTGCAAATTTTGTGAAGGGTTAGAGCTGTGCTACAGTTCAAGTATACTTTATAACACTACTTTCAGGGAATATTGTAACTCTGTTTTTCTGAAGCTCGCTGTACAACTTCTGCTGAGAACATGTTTCTTCTAAATGTAGCTATTTGTATTTAACAGTGCTAAGTCCCTAGGGAATTCTTGTTTTCAGGAATTTCATTTGGCAGTTTCATAAGTGGCAAAGAAAGGAACCTTATGATTGTTTATTTCAAAATTATCCGTTTTGGTCTGCATATGTGCAAAGTTCACATGTGACTGCCTAAAATACTCTATTTTCTTAGTTAGAGCCAAATGGCTCTTGTGAAAACAAGAGCCTGGATGGGAGCTGATGGATTTCATACCTTGGTATAGTTCTGGGATGCACCTGTGCTATGCATATGAACTCAGAAGCAGAGAGAAATGCACAAACTAAAGTGTTATTTCTGATGCTAAGGTTGTTTGGAAACTTCAGAGTAGATGATTGTCCATGTAAGGGTCTCTCTGTTCATAGGATTCTGCTGCTTTACTGGGAACAGTGTCTTTTGCCTGGAGATGCTTTGCAAGTAAATAGATGTTGCTGACAGTGACTCCAACAAGAGTTCTGGAAATAATTTTTTGGTTTTGCTGTTTATTTGAATCAATAAGTGTATGTCTTAGTAAATTTTAAGGGAAGCTGCACAAACCTGTGTTTGCATGTATTGTATTTTTGCTAAGAATAACTTTAGTTATGCAATGACAAGCAAAGCACAATGCAGTACATTAAAACTGAAATGGAAGAGAATATATGACTTGATGAATACCAAGTCAATAAAGTGGCATAATGAGGAGTCTTCTTGGCCGTGCATTTGAAACATGTTTAGCATTGTTTGGATATAAAATTTGAAACTATTTAAAATGCTAGAATAGAAATTAGGATTGGAGGATTTTTTTTGTTTGTTTTGGTTTGGTGTTTCTTTGTTTTTTTGGTTTGGGTCTTTCTGAAAGCTTAGCTTTAAAGGTCAAAATTGAAACTGTTACCTGGAGTTCTGCAAAGTTGTGCTGATTAATATATTCTATGTTGAAGACAGAGAGAATTTGATAAGCCCAAGTAACACAAGAAGAAAAATAGACCAAGAAAATGAAATACTTGCTTCTCCTCCTGGTACCTTCCACAACTGTCTTGCTGCTAGGTATGCTAAATATATCAACACAAATAGAAAATAAGCTGGACCTTAAGCAAAAAGAGATACTTAAGCCACCATATTTGACTGTTGAACTTTAAGAGCAGTGAATAATCTTGTATGTCTGATATGTTTATGATAGTTGTAGGTTGCTAAGTGAGTTGAAAATAAAACACTAGCTGAATTCAAAAATATCCTTGCTTTAAGGTGATCGTTCTTCCTATTTTTCTATTCTTTCACAGTTGGAATACAAATTTTTTTAACATTATTTCAGCTTTCCAAGTCCAAGCATCCAAAGAAAAAGTAGTAGTGATGCATCATGTGCTTCTCAAGTTGTAAAACTATTTGTAGTATTTGCTGAGATTTTGTTTTAATAATAGCCTTGATTTTGACACTTAATGTCTGTATTTCAGATAAATTTTATCAAAGTACTTCTGTTGATTATAAGAAGAGTTAAACTAGTTATTTAATTGCAGTTGGTTAAGCCAATTTCCCTAGTTTCATACAGCCTATTATAAAATGCATGGTTACATTGGAATTTAATGCTTGTCAGACAAGTCATCACTGAAAATTAAAATATTTCCTGAAAGAAATATTTTACAGTTTATAGTAGACTTATAGTAATGTTCAAAATATTGCCTGATAGTTAGGAGGAATTTACATTTTATCTAGTCAGGGAAGTAACCATGATGCAAAGAAAAGAAATAATGGAGATGGTAATATATGTAATGTTTGAAATATTTGATTATTTTAAGAAATTGAGATATGAAATTAATATTATGGCTTTAATTTTCTTTTGCAGTCCAGCTGTTTTAAGGAGTACTTACAGAACACCTCAGAGAAATAACATCCCTGGTTTGTATCTTCAGTTTTTAGTTCTACAAAATATTTTACATCTCTAGATAAAAATCCTCAATTTTTAGTTACTGTTTAATGTCCTTTTTACATGATGTTTTTCAGGTCCGTATGGAAGTTTGTTTTACACACCAAAACTTTCAGAGGTACAGATTGTATTCATGCATTTTGTTTCCTTTTCTTGAGTTGTACATTTAGAATTTGGCATAGAAATGATATATATGATTGTTAAATGTATTTCTAGGTCAGAACTCCAAAATGTATTTCTGAAAGTCTGGGAGCTGAAGTGGATCCAGATATGTCCTGGTCAAGTTCTTTAGCCACGCCTCCTACCTGTGTTGAAACTGTGATAATAGGTATTTCTAAAAATGACCAATTGCTAAGGGTTTAAAACTTCTGGTTTTGACACTGGAAGTTCATTCAGTATGAACTGTTTGGTTTTTTAGCAAAAAAAAGACAAAATTCTTACAATTCTTTTTAGTGGGTGCCTTTAGATAATGCAGGCCTTCACAGAAAACTTTTCAGAGGTTTTCTTCCTTTGTCTGAGGGGTTAGGGAATATAAATATAGAAATAACATAGCAAAGCATAGAAAGATGATTAGATATGTTTGCTTTGCCCTATCACAGAACTAGAAACTGTTGGGCTGTAAGAAGGTGGCTTGCTGAGTTAACCTCCCAGCAGTAGTGTTGGGTTCAGCATTTTTAACCACTCTCACTGCGCCTGCCATCATAATCAATCCAGTGAGATGGACTGGGATACTCATCCAATTTAAGATCTGAGCTCCTGGGTTTATATTTCATGGATTGCTTGGATGGGGCAGTTCCTGGAGCTCATTTACTGCACAGCTGCACAAACAGCTGTGTCAGCAGAGCTGTGAATGAGAATGAGTGGGTGATAATTGATTCAGTGGTAACTAACAGTGATGATAAACATCAAGCCTCAACGTAAGGTGTTGGTGAAAGTGATGTTTCATTAGCATATGATAAGCAAAATGAAGTCTGACAGTATGATTTGTTGACAAAAATGCATGAGAAAAGGGGAAGGCCTGGATGTGTCTCCTTAGTTTCTGGTATTGCTCTTTTTCATGTTGTTAAACTTACACAGTATAGAGCATATAAAACATATTAAGAATGAATCCTAGGTTTGGGAATTTCTTTTGGGATGTAGTGGGTGGTACTATTCACAAGGCTATTGAGTCATGAAATTTTGGGTGTTCTTTAGTCCAGAAAGATGTGAGCTGAAAAGAAGGGCTGGGGGAAGTATCCATATCTTAATGATGATGTTCTGGGAGATGAGCTGTGGTTTGAGCTCCCATTCTCCTATGTCTTGGATTAGCCTAGTATTTTATAATAGTGATGTTATACTTCTCTGCCTTCTGACACCTGTGAAAAGAAAGAGCTGCTACACAGAACCTAGATGCTGTGTCTATGAGACACTTTAATATACGCTCTTGAGACATTTTAAAAATAGGGTTCACTTTCTCCCTTTGTAACAAAAGTGAAGATAATACTGCTGTTTTGGGAGGAAGTGGGGAAAAACCCCAAATTCCTGAAAGGCTTGAAGATCTCATCCAGATCTTTGGACAGAAGAAAATGGGGAGTAGTGCCATGAATAACTGCTTAAAAGGGGAATGGCAGTGCTGTTTCAAGGTGGTAACTGATGGTAACTAGAAAAACAGCAGAAACCATAACCTGTGATTTGGGGTGGTTTGTGCTGTTACAAAACTGCTTTTGTACACTGTCCTTCAGCCTCATCTTTTTACTTAGAACTGTTAGTTTTTAGTAGTTTGTTTACCGATTTGAGTGGAATTTAAAATAATTCAATGAAAGCCCTCCCAAAACAGCTGTATTTGAACACACTCAGCAGATCACTCAGGAGAAAATAAATTTACTTTTCTGTCTCCTTCTAAAGCTAGACAGAATGATTCTATTTCTGAAGCAAAGCAACAGGATGGAAGAGCTGATACAGTAAGTAGTTTTAAGAGCTATGTTGTTCCTTAATTTCTAGTTAGACTATTTGGTTACATGTTTACATTCCTTGAGCCAAGAAAAACAATTCTGTCATTTTCATTTTAAGCTCTCCTACATGACTGTTTTTTAAAATGTTACTGCTCACAAGACTAAATTTGCAATACATGGTTGCAGAATGTGTTCTCACAAATAATTCTCTCCGAGGAATATTTTTTGGTGTGCTTATTAAAAAAAAAAAAAAAAAAGCAATACTTGCCCTCCAAACCACCTGGCTTCAGCAGCACTCAGTATTATTCAGAGAGAAATCAAACCTAGGAATTATGTTACTCACCTTAAGATTGGTTTGTCTGGTTTTTTCCCACTTCCATCAAGCTCTGGAAAGTTATTCTTTGGGAATAATTACTTGCTCTCAACCACTACAATCAAGAGTTGAAATTGAGTATTAATTTTAGTCCTGTGTTAGTGATAGGGAAAGTTCTTGCATAATTGGAATTTGACACTGTGTATATGAAAGCTGAATGATTATTGAGACTGAAAACTGACGACGGAATTATAAAAGGATTCAATTACAAATTTAAGTTTTATCCTTAACGACCTGAAACTTCACAGTTAACAAACTGTTACAAGTGAAAATAGGCAAAATGTCTTTGTCCTTTCTCTTATCTCCTTTGTTCCCTTTTTGAGTGGATTACAGTAAACTGCTGAACCCATTCACTGCCCTGGAGGTGACTTTAAAATGGAATCTGATTTGCATCAAAAATGGGGATTATCTGCTTATTTGTTTTTTACATGTACGTCTGAAAATGTTACCTTTCATTTTCAGAGATGGAGTCAGGTACACAGTGGATGTTTAGAGGTCTGTTCCTTGACTGTTAAAGTGATGCTTACTGGTACAAATTTTGTCTTTGGTTTACAGATTTTGCACAACTATTTTTACAAGCATGATAAATGTCCTGGGATAAGTGATGCAAGTATGCTGTCTGTACCAGAGACAGTAAAGCTAAATCCTGAAGATGACATCAAAGATTTTGGTATGCATTGATGCTTTACCTAATAAGTATTTGGTGAAGCAAGACCGAAGATAAAACTACATTCTGTGTTTTGGGCTGTTCTTATGGTTGGTTTGTTCTGTCATCTGTGTACTCCGAGTCCCTGAGTTGATTCTCATTTGTAAAATTATTGTAGCCTTGAGTCAGTGAATTAAATCAGTGTCCTAGTTAAGCCATGAAAGCCAGGTTGCCACTGGACAACAACCAGATTAGCACTGTGAAGTGTGTTCACTGCAGTTGGAGAGGTGAGACTGTGGGAGAGCTGAGACAGAAAAATCGTACAGGCTCAAGGGGGAGCAAGATTACTGCTTCTAGCTGATGAACAGGCTTAACTTTATCATGACGTTTCACCCCAGCACTCACTATTCTGTGGCGAGCTTGTTTTTTGATCTTGCTGTATCCTTTCATCATTTACTTCACCTGCTCAAAATAGGTAGTTCAAAATGTGACAATCCTTTTGGAAAAAAATGTTTTGGATTTCTTTAAATGAATGTAGAAAGTACAAAAGACAAGGGAAAAATATTTTCATTCTGTGTTTTTAGATCATGTTAGTGAACAAGTGAAAGTGTAAATTCCATTTGGAGATTTTTTTATTTTAGTTGAGAAATGATGGCAGAAGGGAAGATAATTACCAGAAATTTGTTCAGCATGTGTGGGTGTAAAAAGTGCTGTAGAGATTCATGCTGGCTAGACAGGACAGTATATCCTTAGGATCTTATGTCTCCTTATCTGAATTGAGTGGCCTGCCCTAAAAATAAGGTTTGGTGGTACATGTAAGAATTATGAAAGAATCAGTTTAGAATTTGATAAGGAAAGCTGAGAATGCTAGCATCAGGAAGCATTGTTGCTTACAGAGTGATATAGGCCTGCTGTTTTTATACTGTAGGTTCAAATATGATGAAAAGAATTTGTTTGGTAGTAAATGTATTCAAATAATCTGTAGTTAGGAAAATATTCTTAGAAATTAAGGACAAATTATTTGATCTTGGTCTATTTTCCAGTAGGTCCTATTACATTGCATGCTACATAGTGAAGATCAGTTAAAACAGTGTCTGAGAAAAATAGAGGGAGAAGACCATCATTTGTCTTAGAGTTTAAAATAACTTGCAAGTGTTTCCCTTTTCCTATGTTCTCCCCTTCTGATAATTTGGCATTTGGAGATGCTGTGTAAAAAAAAGAGAGCTCCACATTTGTAGCTTTCAGATGTTGGCTTTCTGTGGAAGAGTGTTATAGGATCGTAAAGTACAATAAATTTTATTAGGTTTCTATTTTGTTTCAGTTAAAGAACATAAGATCATAATATATCAAATCATCACCCTCCAGTGAGTTTAGAAGTCAGAATTAATTTCCCTGAGTTTTGTTTTTCCCTGTAATGAGATTATTCAGCGTACAGACAGTATCTGTACAGTCTTTCAGTTAGTCCTTGTTTTCTTTAATACTAAAAAGTAATGTCTCTTGTTTAAGTAAAAACAAATAAGCTGTGTCTGTGTAGAAAGCTTTACCGACAAGTAATCACAGGACAAAAGGGTATGGACACAGAAGTTTTTTCAGAGGAACTTACTTCAATAAAGGAAAATTACCTACCTGTGCACTTAATATGTAGAGTTACAATTTCTTTTTGAGATCTCATTTACCACTCAGGCAAAAAAATAGAAAGTAAAGAGAATGGGTAACTTTTTATGCCTACAACATCAGTATGAACCTATAGCTGATGCATTGCAAATACTTGGTTGTGTGTGACCAAGTACTGGGAGATCTGTGGACTCCCAAATGGAAAATCTTTCAGATACTACACTGTTTAAAAGTTCTAATAGGGAAAGTTACAGAGTCGTGAGTTAAAGAAATTATACGTTAAAAAAGTTAATAGAAAAAGTTAAGCTATTGGTTATGGGCCTAAGGAAAACGGAGGACTGTTTTCTAGGTACTTTATTATGATTCCTGTGATATGAAAAAGCCTTAAAAAGCACTCTGTAAATGAAACCTGTTTTTGAATGTGAAATGTTCTCATAAGTGGGTCTCATTTCATAAGTGGGTCTCATAAGTGGGTCTCATTTCATACATTTGAGAAGGTAATATTTTTATTTGGCGTGTATAAGCTCTACAAAGTAGAGTTTGGGTTATTTTCCCCCTATTGCATGTTATTTCTAAACACATACAAAAATTTCTCATTATTATTCTAATATTTGTGCCAATCATGGAACTACTTAAAAGCTTCATAATCAATTAAAAGACTGAGAATATTTCTGAATCTTTCTAGATACTCTACTATTTTATATCATAATAGAAGACAATTTAATAATTTTTATATAAGCGTTTCTTTAGCTGCCAGTTATAGATAAAAATAGGCAGCTTATTAAAAGTACCTGGTACCTACCATCAGGTATAAATTCTGGAAGAAAAAAATAAATATATTTATCTTGTAAAATTTACTACTCATTCTCTGTTTGTAGGGGGGAAAATTACTCTTTTGAGATAGCCAGGTCTCATCTTGGTAGGCTTAGCCACTACAGAGCTCAGGAGGCCAGGGCATTTACATGTATTTCCTTTACCTCCTGTTTCCTCTAGCAGCTGCTTACGTTTTTCTTTACCAACTCACTCCTGAGTAAAGCTAATGACTATAAAATTGAAAGCTCTATTTATGAATACTGTTCCCAAGTTATTTCCTAAAGCTTATTTTCTTAATTCTTTTCCTTTTTCCATCTTCTCTAAACTCCAGAGTCAGAGGTGTTAGATGGCTTACTGGGTGAGATGGATAGCTTTGAGGACACAGTCAGCATGCCAGCTGAGTCCAGTGGAACTCTTCTGCTGATTCCACATGCTCTGGATGCAGTGGAGAAATATGAGATAAATCCAGAAAAACCACAAGAAAAAGGGGATGTTCCCTCTCAGCAGCCTGATGGAAGAAAGAATGGAATTTCACAGGAAATCAAAACAAATAGCTGGAAATTAGAAAACAGCCACTGTGCTCAGGTGAACAGTTCTTTACTCCAAAACACCAGTGAAGATGATGGTTTAATAGGACACAAAAAAGAATTGGAGTCTCTTAGGAATGCAGGAGATGTGAATGATTATAGACCAGACAGGTCCTTTGAGAATGAGAGGCCTGTGAAAGAAAGTGTGCACTCTCCATCAAACCAGTGGTCTCAACTGAACTTATCTGGTCTTGACAAAGCTCATATGGAGATGTCTGTATGTAGCTCTGCACCTTCTGACTTACGTGGGGGAGAAAATTTAGAAGAAAAGTCATTACTAATGGCCAAGGATGATCCTGTGGAAACATCTTTACTGAACTCTTTATGCTTGATAAAAGCACAAAAGCTCTTGAGTGCGGATTTGTCAGAAAAATTCTGTGAAATGAAAAACACTGAAAACAACTCAACATCGGAAATAACTCCAGTAAAATCTGTGTCATTGAGTGTTCAAGATCCAGAGTTAGTAAAAGGATGTGCAGCTGAGGTTTCCAAAATGAGCTTCTTAAACTGTAATTCTTTTTTAATTGAACATGGAAATGTCACAGAGTGTTCTGTTGTCTACAGTGAGAAGTTTCCCAAGCATTTAAAAGCAACTTCTAAATCTGTCGTAACTGATGTTCTGTCTCACCCACTTGTGTCTAGTGCCAAATCTCCAGATAATTGTGATGACCTGTATTTAATAAATAGTGAAAATACTCCTACAAAGTCTGGTTTTAAAAACCTGAAGATGTTACCCAGTCTGAGAAAGAGATCCAAGAAATTTATTTATAGAATAAATAATACTTTACTGTATCAAGATGAAAAAACACAAAAAGAAGTAACCTCTGAATCACCTATTCATACTGCATTGCCACATTTGGAATCAGATTCATATGAATTTAGAGACTGTCTGGTGGCCAATGATGTTGAGCAAGGTATATTATTAAATCTTTTATAATTTGTGGAGGATTCGTTATTATGAGCCTTTCATGTAAATGTTTCAGATAAAATCATGTAAAATCTAGTGTTCGTGGAAAAGTAGCTGGGCAATTGGGAATCAACATATGGAATTGGTCTGTTAAACAGTGATAAGGATAGCATAATTTTCAAGTAATCTTGTGATAACCTTTTTCCTAACAGTCTAGTTTCTGGAATAGAAACTTCCACTCTGAGCCATTATTGTAATTGACAAGCTTAGTTATCTTTGTCAATGCTGCTTTTACATCAATAGTGTCGAGGGCCATTTTGTCCTGGCTGGTAACTTCTAAGTGATCATAAAGAATATTAAAGTTGTATAGTTATTTTTCTTTTAATGAAAATCTGAATCTACACTTGTTTGAATATTTCTCTCTATTTTTCTCTGTAATGTCTTGTCTTGTAGACCACTTTCTTCCTGCTGAGAGACAGTATTTGGAATCAAATATGAGGACAAAGAACTTCAGTGCTTCTACTTTAAAAATTGATATAATGGATAACTCATCTGATAATTCCTTCAGTGATAGGTTGAAACAACAAGATCTTGAAGACCTGAGGGAAAATGCAAGAGAAGATCAACCTGCTGCATCAATAAAATGCTTAGAAGTATCTGAAGACACACTGAAAGAAGACACAACAAATTCTTTAAATAGTGAGATTCTTTCAAATATAAAACGTAAAGTTCTGACTTCAGCATGCCTAATGGCAAGAAAGCATTCCAGATTTCTCCCTAAAAGCTGTGCATTAGGGAAAGGTGAAGAAGGTAAGGACATGAGTGCTAAGGTGAACAATGGAGCTGCTGTACCTCAGAACCTGAAAGAGCTTGGGTCTTCTCACAGAGACAAGGAACTCTTGATTGATATTCACAGTGACTCGACATCGTTGTGTCAGATCAACTTTGGCATAACTGGAGTCAGTAGTGACCGTTGCGATAAATTATCACCCAATAAAAGGCATTCTACAGATCAGAGGTCAGGAGTTGACTGTGGAGAAGTACAGAGACCTTTGGGAATAAACTGCTCAGAAAATAACAGTACTGTATTAAAACAAGGGGAGAAAACAGATGCAGCTGCCTTTTCAGAGGATGTAGCCAACAGTGAAGACCCAAAGCCAGCTGAAAACAGCAAAAGCCCTCAAGCAGCTGCATTCAGTAATGTACCTGTAGACATTTCTAAAGAATTATTAGGTTGTGGAGATAATAATTCTTTAAATGAAGTAATTGCTGTGGAAGATAAACAAGTAGCACCTATGTATTCCAGAAAAATGCCAAACAAGAACTTAAAATGTAAAGGGGAATCATCAGTGAATCTTAATGCATGCAGTTTGAATCTGGGCTTCAGTGGCTTTCAGACTGCCTCCAATAAACAGATTAAATTCTCTGAAGCCAGTGTAGCTAAAGGCAGAATGCTGTTCAAGGATATTGAAAATGAATGCTTTGGAGCCTCTTCCATGGAAAGAGTCAGAAACTTTTCACATCAAGTTAAAAAGGAAAATATGCTATTCTCAGATTCAAAAAGCAAGCTGGGGAGTAATTTATCTGATTCTTCAGATTCACAGGCAAGTTTTCTTGAACCCAGGCATACACAGTTTACTCCACATAAAGTTAGCTTGTGTAAAAACTTTCCTAGAACTCCACAAGCCTTGAAAGAATCAAATCATACCTTGACAGCAAGCCAAGAAGCTGAAATTGCTGAACTTTCCAGTATCTTGGAAGAAACAGGTAGTCAGTTTGAATTTACACAGTTCAGAAAGCAAAGTAATGCAATACAAAGTCACAACTTGCACCAATTAGAAACTGTAGAAACACATGGAACAAAGAATGTAGAAAATATTTCTGAAACAAGGAAAGATGTGGGGGTTTGTAGCACTTTTGAATTGGAAAATCAAGTAAAAAATGACAAGTATTGTGCTCAGGAGGAAGACACAAATGAAGACACTGAATTGGTGAAAAATGAAAAAGAAAATGCAGTGTTTTTCCACAAAAATGATAAAAAAGTTACTTTTACTGACTTAGACATAAATGAAAGTAGAAGATCTGATGAGAGCTTTCCCATAGCTAAGCAGGACAGCTTTTCTAATTTCATAGGCTTTACTTCAGCTGGAGGTAAAAAAATAAATATTTCAAAAGCAGCTTTGAGCAGGTCTGCAGAGCTCTTCAGAGACTTGGATGATGATAACTACTTGTTCAAATCTTCTGAAACTGCTACTAGATGTCACAATTCAAATGGATCTATGTCTTCTAACAGTAATTTTTCCAGATGCCTGACAAAAGAAAGCAAAGAAAAAACTGTTCATGTTTCAGATTTCAAAAGTGTTAATGCTGTTTCCCACACAGGTTCTGTCTCCTACCATGCACAGAATAAAAATGAGGAACAAACTAGTACAGTATTCAAGGAGAATATGGAAAACAAGACAAAAATATCAGTAAATAATACTGAAAATGTTAGTTTTGATAGTATTAACATTATCAACAGCCTATTATCCACTAGAAATCATAAGCAGAATTATAAAACTTCCAAAGAAATTTTAAATCGAGGGGATGATGAAGGCAATTTGCAAGACCACTCATTAGATGTAACATGTCTAGAAGATGCTATTACAACTGTAGAAGAACACAGTTTAAGTACATCATACGGAATGGAAAACCAGTGTCCTAAGCAGAAAGAAGACGGAAAGGAAAATGAATGTTTGTCACCAAAACTTCAGACTCCAGCTGGTGGTGATATATCCATTTCTGATGCAGCTTTGGATTATTCTCTGTCCTTGTTCAGTGTACAGTGCAGAGAAGGAGACGTAAATGTTTTGGAGAACTCTGATAAAGAAAAAACAGATTGTAAAAATATGGAAGAAGACACCAGTCATGATAAGGACCTGCTAGTGAATGAAAGCAGAATAAAAATAGGTTCTTACCATCATTCTCAAATACCTCTTGAACAAGAGGTAAACATGGGGGAAAATGAAGTGGAAGGGAGTTATCTGACTGGTTTTCGTACTGCTAGTGGCAAGAAAATAGCAATTGCTGATGGATTTTTGGCTAAAGCAGAACAGTTTTTTGCAGATGTTGATGTAGGAAATGACAATTTTGAGACTTTCACCAAGAAAAGGAAATGTGGCAAGAACTGTGTTAAAGACTGTGATTTATGTATTGAAAGCATTGCTCAGTGTGACTCGGAAAAACTCAATTTAAATGAAGAGCTTGTTGCTGAAGAGCTTGGAGATCAGGCAATAGATAGCAGTCCTATTAAACATGCTGTGATTCTTGATCCTGCTTGTGAAGGGAGTTTGGTAACTTCACATATGCATAAAAAAGCTGATATCAGACCAGGAAAATCAGAATTAGAATCCCTTAAAGGACAGAAGATTGATGCTTTAAGTAGAACTCATTTGTCTGAAGATGGAAAATTCCTTGCAGAGAAAATGGTGGACTACTCACCAGGAAAGAGGGATGATTTGGAAAACACACATGATTTTCCTGTGCACTCTGCTGCATCTCTGCATTTAATAAAGGTACCACATGATGTCAAAGATAACTGTGTGCCTGGAGGTACAAAAAATACTTTATTTGTTGAGGAGAGCAACAATAAAGGCGATCAATTGCTCTTTTTAGATTCAAAAAGTAGATGCTCTTACATGAATGGTGACAGTAAAGAATTCAACTTAGAACATTTAAATGAACCTGCTGCTGATAAAAATAGCTTCACAGACACTATTGACAGTGCTTGCCAAAACCAGACACTAGTCAGTCTTCTTGAAGAGGAAACTAATTTTAACAGGTTAAAAGAAACAACACTTAAGGTTGAAAAGCAAAGGGGTGATCTGAAACAAACCGTGTTTAGCACAGCAAAAGGGAAAGCTGTGTCTGTTTCAGAAAGTGCATTAGCAAGTGTAAGACAAATGTTTCAAGACTGCAGTGAGGCTGTAAAATATGATATTGAGCCTAACTCAAGAAGGAATCAAACAGAAATTGCTAGAAATTCATCTGTAGTCCTTCATACTGAGTGTCCTAATTCTGCTAATTTTTTTAATGCTACAACTAGTAAAGAGTTTATTAAAGTAAACGCAAGTGCTGATGAAAACTGTCACCAAGAAAGAAGCACATCTGCAGATGCAAAGTCTGTTTCAAATTCTCCGAAGCAATCCTTTGAGCAGAATAGTAAGCTTTTAGGGCACTTTGTTCCAAATAAGCAAATAAAGCTATCAGATGCTTCTACAACAGATGCTTCTACAAGCCATTTTGGATTTTTTAGTACAGCAAGTGGAAAGCCTGTACAGCTTTCAGAAGAGTCACTCAGGAAAGCTAGACAGCTCTTTTCTGAAATGGAAGGTAGTCATTCACCACATGTACAAGAAGCATCTTTAGTTGAGGAAGATGTTGAAAAGTCTAAAATGCACATTGAAGTACTACCTAGGGAAATGCAGGTAGTATCATCAAAAGGGGAAGAAAATACCAGCCCTGAACTGATTTCAGATTCTGCTTTTGGCTTCAGCACTGCTAGTGGAAAGCAGGTAAAAGTTTCAAAAGATGCCTATCAAAAAGCAAAGGCAATTTTAGAAGAATCTGATTACTTTTTGAGTAGTGGGCTTTGTACTACAGATCAGCTTAATTCAATTAAAGACAGTGGTCAACGTGTAGAATCTTTAACAGATAAGGTGATCTCAGAATTCAAAACTAAAAACAGCTGCAATCAAGACTCTGACTTTAAAGGCCTCTGCCCTCAGGAAATAAAGTATTTTCCAAGCACTCACCATGTCAAAATGCCTGAGCACACACCATACAATCAGAAAAAGAAGCAGTTAGCATCATTTAAAAATAACTTCCAGCAAGCGAAAACCGAGTCTTTCGGAAAAGGGCAGCTGAATCTGTGGTCAAAAACAGACTCTGAAGCAATTTCATGCAGTGCTACTGCTAAAGCAGAAATTAATAGTAATCTTCTCCAAAGTCCAAAAAATTACTTGGAAGTCGAAGCTGCAGAAAGTGCAAGAGCTTTTATGGAAGACAGTTTTTCCAGTTCTGGAGTACAAATTAATGCTGTGCAGACCTTCAGTGGCAGACCAGATAAAAACTTCCAAACTAAGACCTTTGGGAAGAGGCACCTTGAAGAAAACAACTCACTTGGTAGGTATTTTATCTTACAGATGTTCAACTCCATATTTCTACATAGTGGATTGGTTTAGGTTTTGGGGGATTTTTTGCATGTTACGTTGATTTTTAGCTCACAGAAACATTCAAGTTCTTTCTCTAGGTGTCTGACAAAAACTCTTCTTGCTTCAGGCTAGTTCATCCATTCTGTCCAGACTTAAATATGCACAGTAGAAGCTAAATTTGTGATTAGTAATTTTGAACATGTACAGGTTTGCTGTTTTACTGTAAGCTTTCAGAAGAAAGCTGCTATTCGTTTTCTCTCTGAGCAGACTTTTTCTTCCTCTCTGTACAAATCTAGTGTTTTTTCTTTGAAAAATTAGTACCAGTATTTCAATTTTCACCTTTTTGTGCATTGTAGGTGAGGACAATGTTTTGGTTGTATCAAGATTGCTAGTCTGATATGAAAAATAGTTGTTGGTTTAAATGTAGTTTCTTGCCTTCTGAAACTGATCTGTCTAGGGCTGAAGTGTTGGTACTTGATGCTTGTGCAGAAATACAGACCAGTTTAGGAACCTGGGCTAGCTGGAAACTCCCTGTGCAAGGGGAGATTGCAGCAGAGTCCCTGCCTGGCTGCACAGGTTCAGGTGCAAGAGTCAGGCAGGCTAGCGCTGGAAAGTTTGGGTAGGTGGCAAAAGCCAGGGTAGGACTTTTACCAATCCAGATTGAAATAGCTGTGCCACAGCTGAACCCTGACCTTAGTTACAGTTTCTGTAAAAGATGAGTTAATCTTAAAAGTTTGGAGGGACTCTTGTGTTACTGAAAGTCTAAAGAGAGATGCAAGTGAAGTGCAGTCTGAGAGCTGTGGTGCTTACAGACTTCATTTTGGGTGGAAAAGAATTACTGATCACAAAAGTTTAATAACAGGCTTCATTATGTGGGATTTTGTTGTCACTCTTGGTAGCACAATATGCAGTCATTCTGTACAGGAGAAACTTCTGCAATTTGTGGTGAGGTGGCTCTGTGTTTGAAAAGGCCATTTAAGGCACATGACCTGAAAACTTCTTAGATCTGCTTGCTTTGACTTCAGTGTTTTATTTAGAAATTACAGTTGTGTTGTGCCAATTGATAAGAAACTGAACTTGAAAGGTACATCACTTTTAAAACTTTTGTGTTTTTATTCTAGGTGAACCTCCAATTAAGAGGCAGCTTCTGCTTGAATTTAACAGAACAAAGAATTCCCCCAGGTCTTTGAAAGCTTCTAAAAGCACCCCTGATGGTAATTTTAGTCATCTTGTGTTCTAAGCAGTAATCCAGTGTCAGTTGGTATCTTGAGAATTCTTCAATTTCCAATAACATAACATATAATAAGTTTACTTAACTACTGCATTTATCAATGTAGTCATGGAAATTCAGGCAAGGTGCTGTGGTAATGTCCCTGCAGACTTGAAATCTTGTGATTAATGATTTGCCTTATTGCATAGACTCTAAATATATTCCTTCTGCAAGAACTCTGGCTTAATTTCCAGTTCTGGAGGAATTTACCCGCTCTCTCACAATCCTAAATCTCACAAATTCTAGACTCAATAGGAGGAATGCATTTTATTGGTTAACTTTGTGTAGAAACTTACTGGTGATATACTTACTATATAATTACTTCTAATATGAAACTTCCTCTTTGCACCCTAAGGGCATAGCACAAATGGGTTTACATTCCAGGCAGATATTATTTAGTTACATTGATAATTCCAAGATAAGCATGTCCCTCAGTAATGGAAGGAGGAGTTTGTGCAAATGTCCCTTTTTCTGTTGTAGTGTCAAATAAAAGAATAAAAGTTTCTGAAAGAATTCTAAATGAATGGTGAGCTTACCTGGAGTTAAATGCATGATAAACATTACCCTTTCAGGAGCCTAAAAATATCTTGCTGGCTCACAAACATAAACTCTTGAGAGCTCAGCATTGTGAGTACTTAATCTTTAGATCTCTCTGGAACGATGTTTAAAAAAACATTTTTGGGGGCAGGAATAAATAAAGCTGTTTATATAAACTCTGAAGACTTCTCTATATATCATTAATATAGATAAAGCATGTGCTATAAATATCTATGTAATGTGCCATTTCAAACATTTTTTTTCTTACTATCTTACAGGCATTTTTAAAGACAGAAGAAAATTTATGTACCATGTGCCTTTAAAACCCATAACTTGTCAGCCTTTTGGGTGAGAAATTTTTGAGTTACTACCCAACTTCATAAAAGGCTAATCATTTTATGACAAAAATACTAAGTTACCATATAACACATGCTGCTGCAGTAGATCTAGTGTATGCTATATATATATATATATAGTAGATGATAAACTAACTATACCCTATTATACTGTGTCTTTTCTCAATAGAAAGAAGTATTCTGTTTCTTAAATATCAAGGATTGATATTTTGTCTTTTTACTGATACAGAATTGAAATTTTGTATTACTAAATTAAGAATACAAAACTCCTGACAAAGATTTTTGTCAGGAAGATGAAATATGTATGCTTAAATTTTTTCATTTCTGTAGGTCAACTGAAGAACGACAAGAAGTCAAGAATCCTACCCTTACTCTGCCAGATCAAGACTTGAGAGGATTCCAGTCTAAACCTGCCATTTTTCAGCACTGTGCTCTCAGGCACTCTTCAGATAGTGCTGCAGGGGTTTCCACTCCCTGTAAGGCCTCGGCAAAAGAGAGTGAAGAAACGAGAAGTTTGTACAAATCTGGCAAAGCTGCTAAAACTTTTATTCCACCCTTCAAAACCAAGCTGACATTTTCTACAAGCGAACAAGGCAGCAGCAGCAGATGTGACTCACCCATCAGCAAAAGTATGAACAAAGAGATGGAACTAAATCAGATCAGAACTGAACAAAATACTGCTGACCCTCAAGATCAGCAGCCTTGTGTCCAGCATGCAGCAGACACTGACCTAGAAAATGGCAATTTAGGTATTTTCAGATTTTACTCACTTAACTATTGTGAATACTATCTATCAGAGTTGATTCTTTAGGGGTTTTTGTATAATTTGCAGACTTTTTTTTTTTAAATAAAGGAAGCTTCATTTTAAGGCTTTTTTTATTTTGGCAGGAAAATTAGGAAATTACTATTTTCCTAATATTTTATATTGCACTCTTAAAAGAGCATATACTGTTTATCGTCAAAGTTAATTGAGAAAAGGAAAATATTTCACACAATGCTTAGAAACAGACAACTTATGTTTCATTTGATATTAGATTTTTCTTATATACCTCATAGATAAAATAATCTAGGAACCTCAGATTAGCCTTGCTATACTTCAATCATTTTTATAGGAGCTTGTTTTCATTCTGTCTTCTAATTAAAATGTAGACTTAGCCATATAAATGGTTGATTGTGTCCTTGTTAAAGAGGCAGACTTTGAATGCTCAACTGTTTGACTTAAAAATGTGGATTTATGCCTTCTAAGCTCTCTTGAATGCTCTGGTTTTTTTGGTTACTTCTATAATTTACAATCAAATAATCCGGATTTTTTTTCAGAAGGACTTCTGTATATTTGAACAGGTGTATGAGTATTTGCAGAATTAGATCCTGCAGTAACAGGCCAAAATTTCAGGATTAAGGATTTCTGCAGTCGTCAAGTAATTTCTTTCCATTTGGAGTTTTCTATGAAGACTGAGTTCAGTCTTCATATGAGAAAAATATGTGGATGGAAGTTTAGTTCAGGGACTTTTATAAAATTAATATGGATATGTAATTTGTTTTATATAAATATTCAAATGCCTTCAGTAATTACTGCTTTCTAAATGCATTAAAGTTTTAATATTTAGACCTGTAGTTCCTAAAAATCTGCAGAGTAGCACAGAAAAAATGCTGCTCTGAATCTGCTACAGCATCACTGTATATCTTTATTTGATAATGCTTTTAAAACGTTGTGATGATTTGGGTTTTTTTAATTTGCAGCTATGGCCAGGATGGTGACAAATCTCCGCTGTGCCAGAGATCTGCAGGAAATGAGAATTAAAAAGAAATATAGGCAAAATATTCGTTCACAGCCAGGCTCTCTTTATGTCATTAAAACATCTGCCAGCAACAGAATCTCTCTGAAAACTGCAGTAGAAGAGAAATCTCCTAGCTTTTATTCTACAGAAGAGGTATACTGATATCTTTGTATTTTCAGTCTCACATCTGTTTCTCAAAACTAGCAAATAAAAACTCAGTAGCTTTTGAATAGATAAATTTTTCAGTTTTTAGGTTATTTACAGTAGCTGTTACACCAGTTGCTACAGTATTTAAGTGGCATATATCCAGTTTTAAGACTATTCCAAATAATAAAGGTCATAAATCTCTAGTGTTATAATCAAACAGGAAAAAAAAATCCACCAATTAAAATGCACATGAAAAGCATTTAAGCTTAGGTAAATCTATATGAATATGCTCTTCCTTTTGGTACTGTGAAAGTACAAAACCTATTGAATTTTTTTAAACACTTTCAAAGAACACTGTGATGCTGTTCTGCTAAAACAGTTGTTGGGGATCATCCATTTTCCATGGTTTACGTATGAAATGGCAAGGTCAGACAAAAGCAGTCTCAACCTTAAATAAATATTTAATCTGAATTAATAAGATTGGATATTTAAACTCTCTGTTAAATTCTCACTGTATTGTCATTATTTTGTCTTTTCCATCTGATTTTTTTCAGCTATACACATATGGTGTTTCAAAACAGTGTATACAAGTTAACAGCACAAATGCAGAATCTTTCCAGTTTCTCATCAAGGACTTTTTCAGTAAGGAGTATTTGTTAGCTGGAAATGGAATGCATCTTGCTGATGGAGGATGGCTAATACCTACAGATGAGGGAAAAGCTGGGAAAAAGGAGTTTTACAGGTACTGTTGCTTATGAACTTGGGACAACTATGCTATTTATGAGATAGCAATTCTCTTGTCTCCTAGAATAAATCCAACACAGTGGTATTTTAAAGCCTCTGACTGCTGGTTTTTTACTATGCATTTTTAGTACACCTCCATTGGCGTAAATAAAGATATTATAGGATTGTGAATTTTCTATGTAGATTCATGTTGCTAGTGATTGATCCTCACTGACCATTAAGGAAAGCAAAGTCAGTTTGGAAAATTTCTGGAAATTTTTCAGTGATGTAAATAGTCTGAAAAATAGGCAAGTCAAAATTTGCAGTGGATTTCAGGTTAATTTATTAACAATTTATATGCAGAGCCCTCCTTGACACTCCTGGTGTGGACCCCAATCTAATAACAGAGGCCTGGGTTTACAATCACTACAGATGGATTGTATGGAAATTGGCAGCCATGGAAGTGTCTTTCCCACATGAATTTGCTAATAGATGTTTGACGCCAGAAATGGTCCTGTTGCAGTTGAAATATAGGTATGTGTATAGCAATATATTGGGAGCTGTAATTTGTGTTACTGTGTGCTTTCTGGTTCGTCAATATTACAAAATAAGCACATCTACCTTGCACTCATTACTTAGCAGAATGCTTGTATTGTTAAACTTACACACAGCGGTATTAAAAACATAGTGTGTGTTACCTGCAAAAGTGTAGAAAACATTTGATTTGCTACAGTGGTGCTTAATCATGTAGATTGAGTAACCAACTGTTTGCTACAATTGTGTTTAAAGAAAAACAATGTGATGGATTTTGTTTGCTGTAACTAAGCACAAATTCCTTTTTGTAGGTATGATTTGGAAGTTGACAAAAGTAAACGATCGGCAATCAAAAAGATAATGGAAAGAGATGATGCAGCAGGTAAAACACTTGTACTGTGTATTTCCAAAATCATATCGCTGAACACAGTTGTATCTCCTAGCAGTAGCAATAAGAACATGGAAAGTAAAAAAGCAGCAGCTTTAATTGAAGTTACTGATGGCTGGTATGGGATCAGAGCTCTTCTGGATCCACCTCTCAAAGCTTTCTTAGATAGAAGGCAGCTGACTGTTGGTCAGAAGATCATAGTGCATGGAGCAGAACTTGTTGGTCCTCAAAATGGATGTACGCCACTGGAAGCCCCAGATTCCCTTATGTTAAAGGTAAATAAAATCTTCTGTTTGATTGGATGTGACAGAGAGATGTTATAAATGCTACTTAATTGAGCCATATTTTGTAAAGAGGAAAAGTTATTGGGGTTTTACAAACAGATGGAGCTTTGCTGAAGTTCAGTAACCAAATTTGTAAAGTTGGAAGAGAAGTTTGTAGTATAAAATTCTACCAAGTTTTGCTATGTGCTTTGGCAGCTCCAGCTCCTTACTTTGGTTAAACACCAAGTTGCAAAGAAGTATTTATCCATCTCAGGCGATATAGAAGTTGGAGGAAGAATGGGGGGAACCAAGTCATGAGAGGATGAACTGGTCAGGGAGGGCCTTGGTTCATTAGAGGTTAGTTAAAGAGATTTAATTTTAAAGAGGGTGAAGTTTCAACATAATACTGAAATTGCTCCTCTGGTACAAAGCAATGGGTTGTCTCACAGATTCTCATTTCCCAGAGAATTGTAACTTATCAGATTTCTAGACTCTGTTTAAAATACAGTCTTCAGTGTGAAGGGAAATCTTTAAATTAAAATGTGATCTGCTCAGGTGCAAAAGTGATATATTCTTAGTGAGGTTAGTCTGAAAATAGATATGTAGATATTCCTGTAGATAAAATAAGGTGGATAGAACTTTGCTATAACTTACAGCAGTGACAGTTTCTCATGCACTATTTCCCTTGCTCAGATCTCAGCGAACAGCACTCGCCGTGTGCGATGGTACACAAAACTAGGATTTCATCGGGATCCCAGACCTTTCCCTGTGCCTTTGTCATCACTTTACAGTGAGGGCGGTGCAGTGGGGTGTATTGATGTGGTTATTCAAAGAACATACCCTATTCAGGTATGGTGGAAGCATTTTATGAATCTAGCAAGGTTCTATGAGATCTCAATTATATTAATTAATTGCTATAATTCCTCAAAGACACAATATAGAGAGTTACAATTTTTTTTTTAAGATACTGTTATGTGTAAAATACACAGGAGTGGTTCTTGCATTGCACATGTATTTAGTATTTCAGGACTAGAGCATCCTGCTGTAATAAGTTTGTGTTCAGTATCCTTTAGTTGACTTTGCTTTCAGCTTCAAAAAGCCAGAAATAATTGAATTTCAATTCTGTAAAGAACTGAATTTCAGTTTCTGTACAGAAAAAGTACAGCACTTGTTTTATTATTAACATATTAACAAAATGTTACATATTTCTAAGCATTGGTAGGATTACTTTTTCTTACATGTAGCTGACTGTATTGTGTAAGTTTTATATTACTAAAAATACGGTGTGTAATTATGCTGTAAAACAGAGTTGAGATCTTTTAAATACTACTTGCTGTCCAGATGTTTTAAATGCCATCAGACTTCACTGCAACTACTTGGTTTTATGAATTTATAAATGATGAAACAATATTTCTTTTAGTCATCAGTTCTTTTAATGTAAACAGTTTAACCAGGGCGTAATTTTCATATTTTATTAGCTTTTCTCAGAGCAGGTTATACTTGGCATGTATATCTAGGATACTTTTTTTCATTGCCTTCTTACTAAGGTATTATATTATTGTTGGTGGATGTAGAATGAATTCTGCAAAGGTACTAGCAACATTTGGTTTGGATCGTTACTTTGCTATTTATATCATTACTTTAATGGAGGAAATTGCAACATTTATTGTATGAGCTGCCTGGTAGAACAAACATTTATATAGTTCTCAGAAAGGGGACTGTAATCTGTAACTGCATCACAGTTAATGGTTTCCAGGCTGGGGAGGAAAATGCTTCTTCATATCTGGCTATGTCAAGAGATTGATGTACTTTTTTCTGCATTAAACACTGAGACTCTTGCTCAAACATGCCAAAATTATAAAATTTGGGCTGTCTGTCTCATTTTACCTCAAGAGTCAAGGAGTGTGGGAATCACAGTAACCTTAATTAAAGGTGTCAAACTGTGAGTAATGCAGGAAATACATGATGTGCTATTAATGAGGTAGGTCGAGCCTATTTCAACAATTCATTGCCTCATAAGGATTGGTTCTGCAACCTTTCCTTATCTTGCTTTCACTATACACTCTTGCTGCTTATCTGTTCTAAACCTGGAGATCACCTGGTCCTGTTACTTAGGTAACTTAATTCATTAAACTAGGAAAAAGTAACTAATAATAATATTAAGAACACACAATGAACTGCTTGTCTATTTAATTACCAATCTGATACAGTCTGCTGAGTCACTGCTAGAGCCAGTGCAAAGGAGAAGACAGAACTGTGCAGAAAATGGGAAGGGAACAACCATGGATCTCCTCATTTAGCTCACTGGCCTCTTCAAATCAGGCAAGCCAGTTCTTGTAGGGTTGTGGACAAGGCTATGGAATCATCTTAGGCAGAAAAGGTTTAGGAGCATCTGCAGAACTATATCATAGTTCTTTTACAGCATCTAATCCAGGGTGTTAAAACAGAAAGTACAGCTGATGTGGAAAGACAAGTTGGGTAGAATGCAGTCTGGTGTATTTTTCAGCATTGAGTGTGCTGGTTTGTATCTTAATGAATCTACCAGTGGTATCCATTAGTCATCTAAATTACAACACTGATACCCACTACTTGAAGCTATGTTTTCTTCAGCTTTAAATCATCTGGTTTTGGATACTGCTCTGTTCTGCATGTCTTTGACAAGTTACCAACCAATCCTATAGGGTTTTGCCTTTTATCTGTTATACTGGAAGAACTTAAAGTCTGCTGCCTGTTCATTTTTAAAGCATTTTTGCTCAACAGTGAGTATGAAAGAGAAGCTAGATAACGTTAAAAATAATTTTTTTAAAAGTCTGGGTTTAGTTTTAATCTTTTCATTTCAGTGGATGGAAAAGACATCAGCTGGTTCCTATGTTTTTCGTAATAGCCGAGCGGAAGAAAGGGAAGCTGCCAAGCATGCAGAGGATCAGCAAAAGAAATTGGAAGCTCTGTTTGCAAAAATTCAAGCAGAATATGAAAAGCATGAAGGTAAAGCTTTCATTCTTTCAGAACTTAAAAAGAATAGAAAAACATTTTGATGTTTTCAGAAAAGGCTAAAGAAATTGTCAAAAATCTCTGGTGATCAAGAAGAAGAGATGGGATTTTGGGTTGTTTTCTTTATTGTTGTTTTTGTTTTGTGCTGTTTCAGGTTTTTGCTTCCTGTGTGTCAAGACCTTTTGGTACAAAATGGTTTTATGCTTATTTGCATGGCTTTGCAGCTCTCTAGGAAAGACCTTTTGAACATATTGGTAGGCAGGCCACTAAAAAATTATCCATGAGATGATTCTCAGGGAAATGCTACAGAATTGCAGAATTCATAATTTCATTCCCCTCAGGGACGTGACACTGTAAGATTTCACCCAGAGGCGGGCACTGCTAGGATGTATCTCAGTAGACCTGAACACCAAGACTGAGCATCTCTTTCCTCATGAATAATTGCATGACTGTGTGGATACTCAGGTCAGTGGAGCTGCTCAGTGAGACAGGGACTGTGGTGACACAGGCCATGGAGAATACTGAGTTACTGAATGCCCTTGGTTGACAATCCCAGGCCACAGAGACCAGGGGAAATTCTGAAGCAAGGAAGACATACCCTTGGTGGAAGAGGATCAAGTTAGAGAACACTCAGGCAAACCGGACATATGTAAATCCATAGCTGATGATGGGATTAACTCAGAATGCTGGAGGAGCTGACTGATGTCTGTGGGGCTGCTTTTGATCCTCTTTGAATGATCATTAGTTGGTTGGTAGAGGTGCCTGGAGACTGGAAGAAAGCAAATGTGTCTGCTGTATTCAGAAAAGGTAGGAAGGAGTACCCAGAAAACTACAGGCCAGTCAGCCTTTCCCTGATCCTTGAGAAGGTGATGGGACAAATAATCCTTGAAGCACAGGCACAAAAGGGATAAAAATGTGATTTGGAGTATTCAGCAAAGATTCACTCAGCAGAAGTTAAGTTTGACCAACCTGACAGTGTTCTGTGATGAAATCACTGGCTTGGGCAGTTGAGGCGAGAGCAGTGACATTGTCTACCTGGACTTCAGAAAGGCTTTTGACACTGCGTCCCTTAGGATCCACAGAGAGAAGCTGATGGGCTGGATGAGCAGGCAGGCAGGTGGATTGAAAACTGAAAAGTAGGGCCCAGAGGGTGGTGATCAGTGGCACAAAGTCTGTTTGGAAGCCAGTAACTCCTGGTGTATGCCAGGGATGAGTACTCGGTCTAGTCCTGTTTTAACCAATTCAGTAATGAGTGGAGCAATGTACTTACAGCAGGTTTGGTGCTGAAAATTAGGACAATTGATGGATACACTAGAGGATTATGCTGCCATCCAGAGGGATTTTGGCACCTGGAGAAATAGGCTGACAAGAACCTCATGAAGTTCAACAAAGCAAATTGCAAATCTTACACCTGGGGAGGAGCAGTGACATGCACCAATACATGCTGGGGGCCACCCATCTGGAAAGCAGCTTGGCAGAAAGAGCCCTGGGGGTCCTGGTGGATAAGTTGAGGATTGTTGCCAGAAGGTCTAAGATGGTGCTCCTTCCCTTCTGTTTAGCACTGGTAAGGCCACATGTGGAATGCCATGTCCAGTTCTGGGCTCCTCACTCTAAAAGAGATATGGACACACTGGTGATACTACAGCAAAGGACCATGAATGTGTTTAAGGAATTGGAGCATCTGACCTAGGAAAATCTGAGAGAGCTGGGACAATTGAGCTTGGAGAAGGCTCAGGGACATCTGATCAATGTACTTAAATACCTGGAAGGACAGTGCAGACATGGAGCTAGGCTTCTTTCAGTGGTGTCCAGTGACAGGTCCAGAGCCAAATGGATACAAACTGGAATAGAGGAAGTTCCCTCTGGTCACCAGGAAACGTTTTCACTATGGTGGTTGACTGACAGTGTTGCCTACAGAGGCTGTAAAATTTCCATCCTGGGAGATAATAAAAAGCTCACTGGACATGGTCTTAGTCAGCCTTCTATAGGGTGCCCCTGCTTGAGCAGGGGGGTGGACCAGATGACCTCCAGAGGTGCCTTCCACTTCAGTATCTTCTAATTCTGTAATGGCTGACACTGTCCACCTCTGCCAGTGATTACTGCATGGAATTCTTAGTTGAAATCAGAGATGGCCTTGTAATTCTTAAACGTCACTGCTGTGACTCCTCGTGTGTTGTTTTATGTTTGGTAAATTTGTACACAGGGGTCTGCTGTGCTGAAGGAATTCATCAAAATTCTGGCAGCAAAGTGATGTTCATAGTAGTTTAATATAAGTTAACTTGGCATTTAGCTGATGTCCTGAGGAAGCTTTGTGTGAAGGCTTGTGGTCACCTGCTGTTCCACATCTTGGTGTCTTTAAGACTTCTCTGCTACATGAGAAGAAGAGCAAGTGATGTACATAAAGAAAATGTAATCAAGTATCTATGAAGGTTATTGGCAGCCCATCAAATCTCCCACGCTCTCCTAAGTGATATTAGCCACTGATTCTAGCTGCTAGCCTCCTAGCCACTGATACTGGCTTCCCCAAAGTTTGTATAATGTTCTATCTACGTTGTATTGCAATTAATAAGATTTTTTTTCTTCTTGTATTTTCCTGATACATATACACACACACACACACACACACACATATACATCAATTCTTATACATGTGTTTTGTATTTTTATTCTGGCAAGGCCTAAGTAATACTGTGCTTCTTATATAATTATTTCTTCCTTCACTTTAATGTGTTTTGGTTGTAATCCACATAAAAGCTTTTTCTCAACAGAGAGAACCAGTAGAAGAACACGAAGATCACGGATTGTCACAAGACAGCAAATCCATAATTTGCAAGATGGCGCAGAACTTTATGAAGCAATTCAGAATGCATCTGATCCTGGTTATATGGAGGTAGTGGGTTAATTTTGAAAAGCTTTTGGAATAAATGAAAATTTAATAACTCATGCTAAATTTGACCATTAAATTACTCTTTGGTTTTGCTGTTTTATGATATCTTCTACAGCATGCTTATTCCTAAATAAATTAATATTAAAATTTTTGAAAAAAAACTTAATGAAGGTTAGTTGTAATTGATTAATATTATCTTGGATGGTAATTTTCTCTTGGTATAAGAATCCAGGATATAGCACAATTAGAAGTTAATGCTACTTGTAATTTTATTACTTTGCTTTGTCTTGCTTATATGAAAACTTAATGCACCTCATTGATCTAGAGTTTCATATACTTGCGTGCTGTTCACTGAATTGTTTGGATAATTATATTGTCTTCATTGTCTTCATTCCCTGTTCCAGTTAAATCACAATATTTAAGTGTTTATGCCTTCATAATAAAGATACAGGTGATTAGTCCCTGCCAGTTGTTAAAAATTAAATTCATGCCTTGCCTTTTGCAAGTGAGGATCCTTGTCTGTCATAAAGCCATATGATCTTGTTTGTTTGATAAAATGGTATCCATGTTTCTGGAGCTGCATGTACAGACATCTGGGTCTTGAAGGCTTGGTCAGTAAAGTGATGGGTTTGATGCATTTTAGTGTAAATCATTGTGTCAGCTCAGAAACAGCAGCTGGAGGAGAAGTGAAACTCTTCCTTTATTCTTCCAGAAATTTTTCCTACTATGTCTTCATATGAAACAGGCAAGCTTGGCTGTTATATATATGAATATATTAAATATTCACCTTACTTCTGCACTCTCAAGCAGGCTTCCCACTAATTGTCACATAAGAACAGTGTGTAGTGTAATCTCTGCACAGACCAGAGAGCACCAGCTGAGTACCAGCAGTACCACTGCTGCCTCCTGTTGTTTTAATATACCTCATTTCAAGTCCTTGTAGTGCATCAGCTGGAAATAAATTGCTTCTAACAGATGAAGACTCAAGAAAGAGGCTATATAAAAATCTTGTGGTTTTTTGATTAATAAAACTATAACTGAGTTAATCTTCTCTTGGTTACAGGGATATCTCAGTGATGACCAGTTAAAAGCCTTGAAGGCTTACAGGCAGCTGATGAACGACAAAAAACAAACTCAGTTGCAGGAACAATTCAAGAAGGCTTTAGAGTCAGCAGAACAGGAAGAAAATGGTTGTTACAAAAGGGATGTGTCTGCAGTATGGAGATTATATGTGGTAGACTACAGAAAGCAAGAAAAACATAAAGGTCAGTGCTTGAAAAATTATAAAAAACTTCTAACTAAATGTGGTAACTGGCCAGCATAGGTAGATTTGAGGAGTTTCCAACAGTATTTTAGCTTACATGTTAATATTTCCAGTTTGATTCTTGGTTTAGGGCTTTTGGAAAGGATTTTTTGTAGATTCATTTTGTTTAAAAGCCTCCAAAGTATTACTGAGCAGGAAACTGAGCTTTCTGTGCTGTTGTCAGGAGCAGTAGTGAGTATCTGGCGCCCGCTGCCCGACGTGTGTTCCTTGCTGAAGGAAGGCGCTCGCTACAGGATCTTCCAGCTGTCAGCGTCCCAGTCCAGGGGCAGGGCAGACTCCACCCACATCCAGTTAGCAGCCACCAAGAAAACTCAGTATCTACAGCTCTCAGTAAGTGCTTTAGGTGCATAAAGGTGCATCATTAAAATGTGTCACACTCTGTAAGTGTGGTAAATAATGAAGTTTTGTGTTTCATCAGGTATCACAGGAGATGCTGGTACAGATTTTCTTTCCAAGAAAGGCTCTAGAATTCACCAGTTTGTTGGATCCTTCTTTTCAGCCACCATGTGCTGAAGTGGATTTAGTCGGAGTTGTAATTTCTGTTAGAAGAGCAGGTATGTTGATGTTGTGAACCACATTCATGTCCTCATATTGAATAAGCACTGAATTCTTTATTTCAAAAGTCAAGAGTTAACTTGGTGTTGTACCTGAATCTCAGGAATGTGAAAACCTGCTGATCCAGCCCATCACAGTGACATGCTGGCACACAAATCTGTATTTATGAAGAAAAACTGTCTCTGCTTACTAGCTCAGGAAGTTAGAAAGGGAGGATCAAAGCTCAAAAGCAGCTTATATTTACATGGGTTTTTTTGGTTTTTTTTTCCATAAATGGTGGGCATAAGTTCTCACATCTGTGTTCAGCATCTGCACAAACACCATTGTGCCATATACTTGAACTCCTCTTTGGTGTACAGTGTCATGGAATGAGTGGAATTCAAGCACTGGAGCTCATGGATAGGGAGAGGTGGATAATCTTCTGGGTAAAAAGGGAAAGTTCCATAGGAGTATTGTTTTTGAAGACACAGGAGAAACAGACTGTGTCTGAAGACACAGACTTTGAGTTGTTTTCTGTAATCAGTAGGGAGCTAGTGTAGAATATGAAAGAAGTATGAGATACCTATCACCATGCAGATGGGCTGCCATGTAGCTCTTTCAAGATGTGTGACTTTTTTTCGTAAATCCAAATAACTTAAAGAGATGTAAAGGTTTAATTCAGACTTTTTTTTCCTGCTTTTAGGTTTCACTACTGTGGTATACTTGTCTGATGAAAGCTATAACTTAGTGGCAGTAAAGATCTGGACAGATCTCAGACACTTGGCTATTGAAGATGTAGTTGTCCGCTGCTCACTCATTTCTGCAAGCAACCTTCAGTGGCAGTCGGAATTCAGATCAGAAATTCCCATGCTGTTGGCTGGAGATCTTTCTTTATTCTCAGCTAGTCCAAAGGAATGCTATCTTCAAGAGAAGGTTAATGAACTGAGAAGTGTGATAGAGGTAAACCTGTAGAAGTGTCATTTGATGGTTAGTTTCAGTTACTGCTGAGTTACATCCTTCACCAAGAAGTCTGTTAGTATTGATAAATCTTTAAAACAAGTAATGCATATAATGCTGAATTTGAGGGAGATTTTCTGGGAGATAGAGTAAAATGTTAATGCAGTTTTCCCGGGGGATTTAATATCTTGATTTTTTTTTCCCCCAACTCATCCAGCACTGTCTTTAGGATGTGCCACAGAATCTCTGAGTGGCAAAAGATCTTGTACTTGTCAATAGGGAATCTGCCGTGGACAGCAAGTGCAGCAATCTTCTATGTTGTTGGTTTGATATAAAATAAAATTCCAGTGAGATAATGATGAGAAAAGGAAGTCTTAAATGTAGTGTATATCATCCTCACACAGTTTGAAAGCCAACTATTCTGCATTGCAAACTCTGTTCTCCCTTACAGAACATGGCCTCCTTTTGCTCCAATGCAGAAAGTAAATTGATGAATTTGCTGCAAAGAAATCTCTTGCTTACACCCAGTTTAACTAGAAGATGTGGCTTGGAAAGTCCCTCTCCTTCCTGCAGCTATATAGAGCATAGAAGTTTGGTAAGCTTCTGGTAATTATAATGCTGTATTTATACTGGCAGTGCATGCAGTAAGTATTTAAGCAAGTGTTATATCTGTGGTGAATGGTCTCACTTCTGCATCCACTTTATCCAATCTCTTCAGAGCAATGCAAGCTCATTGGAAGCTTTTTCTGTGTGGGGGGGGGGATTTAGGATTATTCCCCAGAGGAGCCATGAGATAGATTATCCTTCCTCCAAACACTATATGAAAACTTCCCCTTGTGGCCTATGTTTCCACAACGTACTTTAATTATTTTGAATTTGATGTGAGTAAAATGAATCCTCTTTCTTTATGGATGATTTAGTGCTTCTTTGGTCCCACTGTGAAGATTGTCTCATGTGCATGTCACAGAAGGGAAAAATCTTGATCTGTACATTTTTATTTCAAGGCATTTTGCAGTTCCCACCCTTGTTGAGATAATTTACTTCCTGGTCTTTTTATAGATAGTGTTTACTATTTCTAGGATTTAAAAGGGAAGAGATGTCACCTGGTAAATGTATTTTAGGAGTCTTGACAAAAATTTATTTAAATAGTACTCAAGTTTCCCATGAAAGCTGCTGGTGGTGATTTGCTTCTGACGTGGAGTACTGAGCAGAGTCAGAACAAAAATTTTTCCTGTCATGAGTTGCAAGGGAGGTGGAAACACCCTGGTGTGATATCAGTTCCTGGGACTAAGTTTAAGCTTGTAAGGCATCCTTTTCTATTTCAAAGAGAGGGCTAATGTTTAATTCTGAATGTTTAGTTTATGTATTTTATAGACGAACTAGTTTATATTTGTATTGTTTATTAAATATATTAATCATCTTTAAAAAATGAGACATTAAGTGTATTCTCAGGCCTGTGCTTGAAAGATTGGCTGTGCAGCATCTGTCTTGTGTGTATTGTTATCTTCAAATTTTTTGGTCTATGTTCTATCTTAGTTTTTCTTCTTTTTTTTTTCTCCTTTTTACTTATTTAACCAACCATGTGTGACAGACATAGCCAAGGCATTAGAAGACTTATGAGTGCTTTGATTTCTTACCATCTGGCATAGAAAAATTCCCATACATTTTGCTTAGCTCTTAGAAACAAAATGTAAATTGTACAGGTGAACAGTGATGTATCAGTCATCAGCACTTGTCATCAGCACTTGAAGGAATCATATTAATCACTATCAAGAGATACCAAACTAAACTTGAATGGGATATGAATGATGGTGTAGTGTTTTTATATTTGGGGGGCGGGGGAGAGGAGGTTTCCCCCATTTTTTGGAAGACTTTGAGGAAACGGAACATTTTCATGATACAGAACATTCTATTCAACATAAAACTTCTCTTTTTACCCAGATCTCTTCTAGAATTGAAATGAAGCATCCAAGCCCTTTGTCAACTAGCACGCCAAATATGGAACTTGTTACACCAGGGTCAGCAAAAACACCTTCACCTGCTACAGTTAATGAAGACCATCTCAAAACCAGCAAAAAGAGAAAAGCTATGGACTTCCTCAGTTGCATACCTGCCCCTCCACCACTGACACCAATATGTTCAGTAATTTCTCCATCTGTTAAAAGAGCATTTCAGCCTCCACGAAGTTTGGGTTTACAGCACAGCAAGTCACCTAAAGAGACAGATCAGAATATTGCACTTGTCACCCCTTGCAGAAAAGTGAGAGAAACTGTCCATCTTCCTGACAATGACCTGGTTGCTGATGAAGAACTGGCAATGATTAATACACAAGCACTCATGAATAATTTACCAGAAGAAAAGAAGATGGATTACGTAAATGAAATTAGCAAAGCAACAGCTACTACTTTATCTGATGATGTTTCATCCATAAATAGTTCCAGGTTTACTGGGGATTCAAATAACTCATCAAAAGCAGTTCTGAAGTAGCAGAGGCTCTTCAGAAGAACCCAAAGTAACCTGAGGACTCATCACCAACCCACAGAATGCTACCAAGACCAAAATCCTGAAAATGCTGCTAATGCACATATATGATGTTGTATATATTTAAAATTAGAATTATTTTTACATTTTGTACATTAAAACTTGATTGTATTTAATAAAGTTCTATTACACAAACAGATTCATTAAATAACACTTCATTTGCAAAATAGTTTGAAGTTTAGTACACTTGTCACAAAGATGTAATGTACAATAGCATCCGTGTGGCTGAGGGTTTGATGATGTTTTGTAAGCCATTGATTCTGTGTTCTTATATTACAGCAGGATCTTGGTTTCAGTCTAAAGCCATCAGTTTTGTTACCCTCTGCAACATTAGAATAGTTGTTTGGCTGTCCAAAGTGGCACAGGGCATAATAAAGAATTCTTTTCTTTTCACCAAACAGAACACTTTAATTCTGAAATATTGCTCTGCTCTCCTGGCACAGTTCTTGTACTTTTCTCCTCAGACTTTCCATACAGCACTAGAAGAGGTTTAAAGAATACTATGATTATTTGATTCACAGCAAAATGCCACACAGTTATTATTAAATAGCTCCTTGGTCTGTGTTTCTGCTTCAGCTGTTCAGAGCTGCTCCTGTAGCCCTGTTCCCACTTAGGAGTTAACACAAACAAGCCTAACACTAATGTTTCATTTTAGGAGCCTCTCCATCTTGGGATCAGTGAACTCCTATGTCTTGGCAGGATGAAGAGCTAAGTTTGCTCTGTTGAAGTGTTTTGCTTGCAGGCTGGAGAAGCTGTTTCTGTGTGAGGCAAGACCAGCATGAATCCAGTCAGTGGAGAGAGGGAACAGCATCAGATCTTGCTATGATCTGTGAGCTACTTTTGTCATCATTCACTTTGCTTCTGAAAGTTCCAATAATGCTGTAGGCAAGGTAGTAGATACAAAAAGTTTATACAGTCAGATATAAAGCATTAAAATGGCAATATATGCCAGTTGTTGGGGAAAGAATTGGCCACAATGGCCTTAAGACAGAAATGAGTTAGGAATGTTTATTGCTAGTGTCAGACTGATGCAGAAAAAATATCCAAAATGTGGCATGTGGTAGAGCCCAGTGTATTTCACATATGCCTGGATAGATGTTCATGGTGGAAGAGAGACTAGACAGAGTACAATTTGTACTGGGTCAGTGCTCATGTAGAGCTGTGAGATCATGGTCCAATGTCATTTAAAGATTCATAAGAAATAGAAGTAATTTAGAAATGTAGTAGAAAAACACAAGAATAAAAAACAGTTTAGAAAAAAATGTAAATCTAGAGACTCTTGTACCCTGATAATTAAAACACCAAGGAATGCACATCTTCAGTTAAATGTCACATTAGTACGTGTCATGCGAGGCCTTCTCCTTGGGACAGCAGAAATGTGGGTGGGATGGGGACTCATCCCATAAGCTGCACTTGCTCCACTGTAGTTTCCCTCATCCCTGCTTGGTCTTTCAGACTGGAGAACACTGTGGAAGGTAACATTGTGCTCATACTGTTCTTTCATCCGTTGTATCTTTTCCCGAGGGACATTATGAGTATTTCTTCTGTAGAGTCAACAGTAACAGAAAATACAAGTATTTAGCTGCCTGTATATGAGCGGTTATCTTCAGTTTGCTGAAGTCCCTGATAGGTTCAGCATAATGGTTCTGGTCTCCACTGATCTGTTCCTGGCCTTCTTTTATAAATTACCACCTACTTCTTAGGAATATTACAACTGCTGAAAAATGTAACACCATTATTTTTGGGAGGCAAACGGGACATGGGAAGTTGACAAATGTCCAAAATAAGAGTTGTGTAGAATACCTGTGGGGTATTTTATACAAGTGTTGCTGTGTTTTAGCACTAAAACAGCCAAGGGCTGCAGCCAGCCCAGACACTCATGCAGCAGCAAGGGCGGAGGTCAGAAACCACTGCTGCTTTGAGAGCAAGCAGGGAAGCATCACTCGTGATGTGGCTCAGGCTCCAAATGACACATTTGAGAAGGGGAACACAAGGCTCAAACATGCAGGGCTTTCTGGATAGAGTAGCCAGAGAAGCACCTACCATGACCCCTCCACAACTTCTCAAAAACCACCAGGAATATCTGTTTGTGGGTTTGCAAACCCCAAGTATCTTTGTGATTGCAATTTAGTGCCATTAAGGTACAGCTTGTGCCCCAGTGAGTGTATGTGAATTAGCTTTACAATGCTGCTGTGAAAAGTCTATGTGTGTCAAATATGTAATAAATTTCAAGTTACTCAGTAGCTCTGCCTACAACAAATGATCAGACTGTACCCCTGCACAGCTCAGGCTGGTGGTGTCCTCACCTGTTCTCAGGCCTGAGCCATCATCTGCCAGGTCCTACCTCCCCCTGCAGCCACGAGCGCTCAGGGCCTTGGCCCTGTGCTGTTTGTGTCCATCACACACAGACAGGAACAGCAGTAATTTTTGACTAGAGCTCCTGGCTGGTAGAAGACAAATCCATCCATTGCAATGAAGTGCCCATGTCTTGTTTTCTTGCTCTAAGCATATATTCTCTTCTGGATTTGGTGGCTGGGAGAGCACTGCTCCCTGTAACTCGCTTCACATCAGGCTGGCTAAAGGCTGGCAAGTCAGCCTGCACTAAATTTTTCAGTGACTACAGCCATTAACACTGCAGTCACTGGTCAACATAACATTCTAAGTCACATTCAGCTGCCTCTGTATCCTACCACATTGTGCAAAGTGTTTATATCCTTTTTGCGTGTGTTTGTTAAGATCTTTACAAAGATCCTCTAGAACCCCGTTTCTTACCCACCATCCCTCCATGCTGCAGCAGGAGAGCATCTGTTATGGTTAGATTCTTAGGGACAGAAGTCTGAATATTGGCTGTAATACTTAGATTCGAGTTTGTGACCAAACAAAAGAGATTGCTGCTCAAAATACAGAATGTAAATCAGGGCTCCTGCCCCATCAAGCTTGCAGCACAAAAACATGCTTCAGGGCTTGTCTTTTCTACTGCCCGACTCACTTCAGGCTCTTTCAGGGCTGAATTCACTACAGACCAGGTACTCAGTAATGCAAATTTTCCAAACAATCCTTCTGTGTCATTTACCAGGCTAGATTCTTCCTTATATGAAGAGGAAGAAGGCTGACCTGAGAGCGTGTCAACAAAATGAGAGAAGCTGTCTGTTCCAGCAAAGAGAAAACTATGTACCTTGTCAGTTCTTGAACATTGAACTTCCAGGGTGTATCCGGTTCTTGGAATGTAACTTCATATCTGTTTTCATGTGCCTAAAGAACACAAAGGTGACTTTATGAAACTGTACTAAAAGAATTTCCACCTCTGCCAGAACTCCTGACAAGAGACACCAGTGCATCTTCAATGACTCTGTATGGTGTGTTTTTCACAAGTCATGAACTACAATTATAAATCACATCTTGATATATTTGTCAACAAATAGTTTGGGAACTGTTCAATTCATGTCACTACTGGGGAAGGGAATGATGCCCTCATCACCAAGAAGTAGCAGGGCAGGTTCAAAGTTCAAGTTGTTTTGCCTTCACTGGGTTAGAAAGTTGACCAGCTAAACAACTACATTGGCACCTCTGGGCCTACTTCATCACAATATCCACCCTTAACTATAATTAGAAAACTATGGGAAAACTGAAGTAAATATTTTTAGCCATGTAAAGAACATTTTCAGTCAGATGAACCCATAAATGTCATAGTAGGCATATAAAAGCAATAAATCAGAACTTTCCCTACCATCATCACATATGGCTTCATTTCCCAAGCATGGATGTTGGTATTATCAATAATAACCGGGCTTTTCCCATTCTTCATTGCTTTGCGTGCTGCAATGTAACACATTAAGTAAAGCTAAAATAAAATAAATAACAGAGCCAGGCCTTACTAGCCCTAAGGTGTCCTTTCTTTGCCCATTGCTCCCATGCTTGGTTCCCCACCAGACCTGGGTTTGCAGCTACCACCCAAATGGAAGCCGAGATCAGTGCCCAGCATCTCTCCTGGAAGGGGTGGTGCAGCCTCTAGCTGATCTGAAACTCTTATAGAACATACTTACAAGAGCCAAAAATTACTGCCATTTGCAGGAGAACGCTGTTACTTCATCTCAAAGTATGCTTGCTATCATTACAAATTCCTTCACAGCATAGCTACAAAAGCATGGTACATGGAGTAGAGACCTGGGTTGTTTAATTCTCCATCTTGAACTCAGCCTGCAAGTTTTCTTCCTGTCTGTCATTGCATTCCCACCCCTTTCCAGGTCAGGACAGACACCTAAGAAATTAGAGGCAAAGGCTGCAGTGCCTATGCTGCAGGGAGCAGTTGCTGGGCTGGTGCCTGAAGGGTATCAAGATTCAGCAGTGTTTCCTCTAAAATAACATTAACCAACCTCCAAAATGTTTTCATTTACAAATTTCCTTTTTATAAGTCAGAAGAAATCAAATCAGAAGTGGTAAATTTATTTTTTAGCCAACACCCCATGAACTATAGTGTATGACACCACCTTGAGGTATTTTATTCTGGGGGCTAAGTTTAAAGACAGCCTGAAATGCAAAACTATTTTGCACAGCCCCTGGATCGAGTTCAGTCACCTCTTTTCTGGTTCCACTTGTGTGCATCCTCTAGGAAGTCAGGCTCAAAGATGTAGACACCATTTTCAACAAAGAAGTCATCAGTACTAAGGACTACGGCACTTGGGTGGTCATGTTTCAGCTGTCTGCAGGAATAAAAAAAAATGAAAGAAGGATTAGTACCTGGTAACACCCTTTAAAAGAGACCATTAAATCATGAGATATTTGAGTGCTTCATTTGAAAAATCCCAATTTAAAGGAAGTATTGCAATCAGTAGATGGACACGTAGGAAGAAAGGAATGGAGCTTGAAGGCATGGCCTTGATTTCTTTAATTCAGCAGAGAAATCTACACTGGACTACCAGCATCTGAGTCTTTAATCTTATTAATATATTCAGCTCCCTTTTTGGGTTATCTGAGAAAGCAGGACTGTAAAGAGAAGGGAAAAAAACCAGTTACCCAAACCTGCTTATCCAGGCATGGAAGCTGGTGTCAGAAGACAATCTGACAATGGGAATTTTGCTGCACAGATTTCTGAAGACAACCAGGAGGATTTGTCATTTAGTAAAGATGGTCC